GTTCGACGAGTGTCGTCTCTGACAACGCGGTTGCTGGAGTTGCAACCCCTATCTGAAATAATGGCGTTGAACTCGTCGGGCATGATGAACCTGTGGCTGGCAGCGGCTGATCAGCGTCGCGGTTTCTCTTTGCCACATTTACAATGGCATTCTTCACGGAGGCTAGGCAAGACCATGGTAGAGGCGCCTCGCGTGAGCCGGCTTGGCCGCTATGCTTTCACCCCCACCACGCAGGCTTCAGTGCCATAGTAACACAGTTTGATACCCATAAGACTATGTACATTCAATTTGCAACGCACCAGGCAGTCTCAAAGAAACAGTTTCAAGTCCATCAATGATAAACTGATAACGGTCAGCCTATAGCAAGCCTCCGCCACGTTCAGTCCGTGCTTTGACTCCTTCCAGTACAGAAGCTGAACGCCTCGTGTTTGAAGGTGGGCGTTGACCTCCAAGGCTAGAAAGAGCTCAAACCGATCCTACTATTCTAGGCGAAATCCCACCTGGATTGAGGATTCTCTGTTCCTAGGCAAACATACTGACTGGGGGCAGCTTGCCAAAGAATGCATGTGGTCACCTTGGATGCGCTGCCCTGATATGCGTCGTCGAGGGTCTCGGGACCCATATATCTCCGGGGGTTATTAGTGTTCCATTCCTAACCCGCAGATGCCGTGCCAATTGGGAACCTCGGGATCTTGAAACGGGTGAATTCCGCTATCATATTGGGGGTCAAGACTCAATTGGCTTTAGTTAGTGTGTCAGAGATTCTCGTCCTCCCGCGTCTTCCCATCGCCGAGTGGTGGGCCGAAGCTCGACTGAAGTCTTACGCCGGAGTCACGGCCCCATCGGAGATCGAAGCTCAACATCCGGGCACAAAGAAAAAAACGTGCTCTGCCGGGCGCGGGAGACTAGACAAACTTACGTCAGAACTTCACATGCAAGGGAGCATGCGGCTAAAGTCCGCTGCTAAAGCTTAGACGAAAATACCGGGCTTACAGTCCATGGCCTTCTCGCCTTTTAGTTCCCCTGAGGCTCACCAGAACCCTGAACTCAAGAGGCTTAGCGGAAGAAGGACGGGCAGAAGAAATGGCCCATCTGTGCGCCTCTTCCTCTTAGGGCTGCAAGGTGGAAGTCTGTTGCTCGGTGCAACATTCGTCCCAAAGAAATTCCTGCAAGACCCCAGCTTCCAGCCGCAACGGGATCGACCCGGCTCTGGAACCCGAGTAGCCGGGGTGATCAATGCCATCTGAATTCTGCTCAGGGTTCGGATGAGAATCGACGGACCGCTGCAAGGGCTTTGAAGGGCTGCAAGGCTGATGGAGGCTAAGTTTTGGGGGTTCTTGTTCTACTAGGTATTCGTGTGATCAACTTGTCGTGTAAGACCTCGCCAATCAGCCCCTTTGGAGACAATGTCCGATGAACCCCTCGTGAGATCGCAGCAATTCTTGTCAGTGGAATAAGCTCGAAAGTAAACACACCAGCCCCGACGACAACCCAAACAAACTTCCTAAACCAATTTCTCACTCTGGCTCGAATAGGGTACGACTTAATTCTAGATGGTCAAGGCACGGGGCGAATTTGGCCGAGGAATGCGCCACCAAACAAGCGCTCTGCGCCGGCGTCTGCAACAAGATTGCCCGAGCGGAAAGAGGAATGATAAGGGAGAGGAAGCACTAAAAGTCAGCGTGAACGACGAGACATCAACAACAACAACGCAACGAAGATTAAAAGAACACCAGGTTGCATGTGAATCTTCATGGGTGTAACCTTAACTTCTTGATCGAACCCCCTTGATTTCGTTCCAAGCTCTTTAGCTACATACCTGCCTTCAACCTACCATCTCTCTATATCCTTCTTTCGTCCCGCGTTTTGATTTTTTTTTTCCATGAGACTCGCTCCGATGCCGTTCATAGCAGCAAAAAGATCTCCCACAACCTCGCCTGTCATGCCGTGGTTATCGAGATCACCATCGTACCAGTCACCCACCGGCTCACCACGCACATCACCAAGGAACAGCACGTGCGGACCGATCAAGACATGCGGGCCTTCAGTCACATACATCCCGCCACTCATCGACGGAGCTTGTGGGACCGTACCACTAGCACAGAAGCCGACTTTGCCATTGCTTCATGAAGATCTACGGGAAATGTGGCAGATGATGCCGGGTCTGATGGCTTCGCTGAGAACACACGTCGCCAACCACCGTCAACACCTCTCTAAGAGCCACCTCAAGGACATCGTCGTCCAACTCAGTCTGGCCATCGTTGAGGTTGGGATTGTGACACTCGCCATCCCCTTATTCATCGTTCTCCCGGGGATCCTATTCGGGGCTTGGTTGGGAATCTCAATGAGCATGGTTTTGGGTCTGAGTTGGTTGATGAATGGAAACGAAGTCATGTCCAGCTGCGACGAGTTCGGAAACAGCACGAAAGACATCGACGATGATGAGGAGAGATGGATCTTCATTGGTGGAATGGGTACTAGGTGAGTCCCCTCTCTTCCACCTCTTCAGCAGCGATCCCATAACCACTAACACCCGAGAAGCTCAACCCACCTCACGCAATGCACGATTCCTCGTCTCGCCCGCCTTTTCGGACGCTCTTTCAGCGGTATCCAGATGGCAACTTACGGTCTCCCTTTCGACATGCTCCTCCTTGCGATCCAGCGGTGCTTCCCATTCGAGACCCAAGCCTCGCGCGCCCTCTACACCGAGCTCCGCACCGCCCTCCTCGATGCCGCCGTTCACCGTGTCGCTGTACTCGCCCACAACAACGGTTCTCTCCCCGTTGCACACGTTCTTGCTCGCCTCTGCTCCGATATCCAGGCCGAAAAGCTCTCCAAACTCGAGATTTACACTTTTGGTGCCGCGGCTTCAGAATTCGTAGCGCCTCTCGGGGAAACCAGCCGCAAGGTCACCCGCTTCGAGGACGGATCCACCGCAGTGGTTGAAGACCGTGGTCCTCATATCGAGCACTTCGCCTATGCCAACGACCCATTCGCGCAGATGGGTGTTCTTCGTTCTGTCCAGAAGAAGCTTGAAGGCCGATTCTGCGGCGGGGTTTTCGTGATCCAGAACCAGGTTCCTCAACCCTCTGGTCATTGGGTTCCCGACCAGCGACCCGTGATGCTTTTGACGGACTATCTCTCGGCCCTCTTCCCCGATCCCTCGTCACCACAAGCACCCAGCAGCATCCTCGACTACGTCATGATGATCGACCGCGATATTGCTGAGAAGCGAGAGCTCGCTGCCATGGCAAACTACGCGCAGACACGCCGATCCCGTAAGGACAGTCGCCGGCTCAGCTGGACCGGTCTGGGAGCGACCGTCGGTGGTAGAAGCGGCGTCATGGACGGTGTCACCGGACTCGAGATGGCGAGACGCGGATGCCGTGACTGCGATGGCCACCGCGGACGCGAAGTCAGTTGGCTTTCCAACTACGTGCAAACCGGCTGGGTCGTCGAAAAGGAGTCCCACGTCGTCGATGCCATGGGCATTGGAGGCAAGTTTTGACAACTTGTCTTGCTTGGTCTACGCTACCATAACCCCCCTAATTTGTAATGTTTTACACCACTTTCTGCATTCTTTGCGCTCACAAAAGATGTTTCATTTGGACGGGACTGGAGGACATTCGAGGGTTTTCCCACTTAGAGGACTGTATTATTTTCCATCAGCATTGGGCGTCGGGGTTATTGACTAGGAAGACATTGAAAGAGTCATGATATAACGAGTCAAATGTATTATGGGACAGATGGGCAGAGAAGTTTTTCAACCTCACCACAATCCGCTTGGATAGATGCGGACAGGGACAGGCGCTTCGGGAATGGGCATATAGATGGAACAAGGTGCTAGTTAGAATAATCAGACACGTACATCTCCCCAATAGTATGTCTTGATATCCGTGCCGAGGAAGTCGTCATTGTACTCCCGGCCAACCTCGTCGTCAGCAGCACCCGCGCATACCAACAGAGGCATGAAGTGCTCCGCGCCGTAGCGAGGGTGCATGTCGTAACTGTGAGAGAACTTGCGCCAGTTAGACAGCGCCTTGATACGGTCTTCCCGCTTCTCTAGGAGTGCGGCGTCTGTTAACTCCTTGTTCCACTCGTTGACCTGCGTCCCGATCTTCTTTGCCGTTGACGGATCTCCCATCATGAGTGACCGCAGCTTTCCCATGTTGTGAAGCGAAGCAAAACCTGAGCCAACGACGGCGACGTTGGTGTCGCGCAAGGCTGAAAGGGCACGACCCATGCGGAAGTGCTCCTCGGGGTCCTCGGAAGCCAGGACTGAAAGCTGAATGACTGGAATGTCGGCGACGGGGTGAATGAGAAGGAGTGGAATGAAGACGCCATGATCCCAACCTGAGATGAACGTTAATCTAGGTCTACTGCCGCGTCCGTGCCATTGCTCCCACTTACCACGACGTGAGTTCATTACCGGTGAGAGACCCTCCTTCTCGAGAGCTTGCTTCAACTCGTTTGCGATACTTGGCGATCCCGGGGCGGGATATTTGAGTGAGTATGCCTCCCGCGGGAAGCCGCCATAGTCGTAGTACAGGTCATGGCGATCCCCTGATGAGATGGTTGGTGCGCCTTCTGACCAATGTGCCGTTACGACCACAATAGCTCTCGGCGCGTCCGGTGTGTTGAGCTTCAGAATCTTGGGCACGCGCTTCTGGAGTGATGCGGTGATGGAAGCATGGCCAGGGTCACCAAGAACAGGCATAGGACCTAAGATGTGTAAGTCAGCGATGGAGCTTTCTTGTGCCTTCAAGCGAGCTCAGCATACCTCCGCCGTGCGCAACGCAAATTGCTGCAGCGCGTGTCATTGTGGATGATGATGTTCTGAAATTTCGTTTGTTTTTCCAGTTGATTTTCCGAAATCGTAGAGTTCTGGTCAAGTAAGACAGAGTTCTTGTTACTGTTGTCATTCGATGCTGTTCATCTGCCTATTTAGACCCTTACTAACCCAACGGATGGTGGGGGACCAGGAAGCTCAAATAGCAATGGTATCCGTTTAGTTGGCTTCGCTCTGGTTCTTTCTTATTGGTCAAAGGGTGATACGCCGGGATCGTCACCGTCCGGGATCAGATTGGTAATACCCGCGCGGGATCACAACGTCAAAGGAACCAGCGCCACGACCCTGCGGCAAATCAGGACGGCTAGAGCTGATTCAGCTGGATCTAATGTGCTTAGAATGTGAACATTTGCAATATCACTATCATATTTCAAGTGAGCCGCCATGCACTTTGATCATGTATTGGATTACTGTCTTCCCCGCGCGGTTCGGAACCGGGATCGGAATACTTTCCGAGTCATCAATGGGTCTTTCAAGTTTCGGCGAAACCTACCCGACTTAAACGTAGGCCTAGACATCTCCCACGACTCGTTTACACGAAGACAGACACCGTGTCACGGCCACTGCCGACAGCACGGATTCTGCCTCCAATCTCAAGCGGGTTGCCCTCATACACAGCAAAGTGGCGGCCGCTCTTCGACTGCGACTCTTCAATGCCGAGAATCTTGTAGACGTTGGAGGAAACCAGATCCAGCGCCTTCTTCTCGCTCAGCCGCCCGTTTCCGTTTTTCTGTGCAATGCCGGCAAGCAGTCCCAAGTCGCGGATCAACCAATCCTCCTCCAAGCCGATGGCAGTGACGACACCAGCGTCGATGAGAGTATCGATGGCGGTACCGTTCGTGAGAGGGGCGCCGGTCAACGAACGTCTCTGGTCCCAGGTATACGAGTATGACTGGAAAGGTGCAAGAAGCACACCGACCCCGGCAGCGGCCAGCTCTGAAGCGACGAGATGAGACTCGGCGCCTCCAATAATGGAGACACGGAGCTTGGGAGATTCCGATGACTGACTCTTTGCAGCCAACGCCTCTTCAACCGTTGCCTTGACTCTGAGAGCAGCGACAATGGTATCGGCACTGTGGACTGTCAGGACCAAGGGCAGCTCTCCGTTGACGACCTTCTTGAGGTAGGCCGCCTCTGAGAAAGGATCCGATGCAGTATCATTGGTCGCGACTGCCTCCAAGAGAGTGTGTCGGAGTTTGCCAATGGCGTCAGAAATTGATGGGTTATCACCCCTCTTCGCAGCGAGAGTCAATGTACGATGAACGGCTACGTCCTCGGCCCAGACAGCACCCTTCTCGAGCGAGTGTTTGGCGTCGGTGTTGAAACCAACACTGGTTCCAGAGTGCGTCAATCCACCCGTGAACTTGGGCGCCGAGATGGCTTTGGTGACGCCGTATCGCTTAGCCACGTGCAGCTTTTTGTTGTCAAGCACAAGACCGTCAAGACCGCGACTGAAACCAGTGGGGTTCCGGCCGTTGTCTGTGTCTGCCTCGTTGTCAATCTCGTTGAGGCCAATGAGAGAACCGAACGCGGTGAAAGACTCAGTGATGTGGCCATTCTTCAAGTCAATGACCTTCTTAGACGAAGACTTGGCAGCCGTAACCTCCTCAGAGCAGGCGCCAATGCACTTGATATCGCCGTTTGAGAAGACAACGTTCATCGCCTCGCCATTGGCTGTGCTGACCTCCTCGCCTGACAGCCAAACATTAGAAACGCCAGTGAAAACAACCTCCTTGAGATCGGTGGTATCCTCAGTAGTGTTGGCCAGCTTGGGATCCGGATGGATGGGCCCCTCAAGAGGCTTCTTGAGCTCAAAAGGATCAGAGAACTGGGCAGCTCCATCAATCCACACTTGCACAGGTGCGGCGCCAACGCTGAGAGGATCGCTGTCCCACACAGCAATGTCGGCATCGAAGCCTGGCTTGATCTTGCCAATTCGCTGGCCCAAGCCTAATAACTCGGCAGGCGCAGATGTCACACCGGACAGCGCTGCATGGTAGGGAAGGCCGTATCTGTACGCCTTGGCGGCCTCGAAGAGGACATGTTGGGCGTTCAAGACCGGGTTGTCACTGACGTACACGGGGGTAAGGCCATTCTCCCAGAGGATCTTGCCAGCGTACTCGGAGCCAATGTACGACTCGGACTTGTAGTACATGTTGTCGGCAAACAGCGCAGAGGCAGGGGGACGACCACCCCAGACGCGCTTCAAGATCTACAGAAGCTTGTTAGTGATAGAATCAGAGACAAGCAAACCAGAGAGACGCACCTCGGGAACCAGGAAAGTCTGATGGGCGTGGTGGAAGGCCCGCACTGGGAACTTAAACTCGTTGGTGTGATCGACAAATGCCTCCAAATCCGGAATTGTGTAGCAATGGGTATTGATGTGCACTTGACCTCGCAGAGCAGCACTGAGACTTTCCCACTTGAGATCCTGGGGCAAGTAGGATGACTGGCTCTCGACCCCAAACTTGTCTGCTGCCGCACACCAGTCATCCTGCTCTTGCACAAGCTTTGCTGCTTGCTCAAAGGCATGGCGGAACTCCCAGCTCTCGCCGAGACGAGAGAATGGGCTGTGTCCAACCTTTCCGTACACGCGTTTCGCGTTCTCTCCGCATGCCATCTTCATGTACCGCCAGTTGCGATCCGGGTCAGCCAGCATGTCCTCGGCAGACAGCTCGGTCCGGCCATCGGGCTTGCCAACGGCGTGCTTAATGACAAAGGCCTCGCCTCCCATGTTATTACCAGAGCCCGGCAGGACTAGCGAGGTAGTAACACCGCCAGATTTGATAACCTGGATCTGTGGGTCGAGGGGGTTGAGTCCATCAATCGAACGAACGTAGGGAGTAATGTCGTTGGACATCTCATTCACATCTTGGTTGCCGACGAGCTCGGGCAGGGCACCAACACCGGCGTGAGAGTGCATGTCAATGATACCGCTGGTTAATTGGCGGCCCTTGGCATCCCAAATCTGGGTGTCCTTGGGAAGGGAGTCGAGAGAGATGTCAGCTTCGACCTTTTGAATCAGACCGTAGTCGATGAGAACGTCGGCAGTGATCCACGAGTACCCTTTGCCGGCCCGCGCGTCCTCGGGCGATGTTCCCTCGACGGCCTCGCCAACCCAAATTGTAGCATTGCGGATGAGTGTCGGGCGCTGGCCGTCGACGTAACGAGCGTTCTTCTCTCGGCCGAGGCCAATCGGATCCTGTGGCTTGTGTCGCAACTTGGCGCAAGTCGCCAAATCCTGCTGCAGACGGTCCGCAGACAGGGAAGATGATGGCTCGCGGGAAGGCAGAATCGAGATCTGTTTCCATTGAGCAAAGGCAATGAACGCGAGACACCCCACGATGAGCTTCATGCTGCGTCTAGGTCGTAGCCATCGCTTGTGGTGGTGAGAGTGCCGAGGGCCCGAAGGCGGCGGGAGGTCCGCTGCGCTGTACGGCGGCAACATGCCGCTCTTTTCCGAACTCATGACAACAACGTTATGGTGTTGTTTGCAGCAAAAACTACGAAAGGCAAAGATTTGAAAAGTCCGAGGAGCAAGGGATATATTATATTGTCTTCAACCCTACGAGGATTGAGTTCCTTGGGACAACCCTTGGCCCAATGAAGAAGGTGACTGACGGTTCGGCTGGATTATCGGCCGACGTTTCAAAGCCAGAGCGCAGACATCGCTGGCGACAATGAGCTTTGGGAGTATCTGGAGGGGCACACAGGGCAGTGATCGCTTCTCTTCGGTCGCGACTTCGGCAATATGAGTGGTCAATGACATGGATGATGGTGAGAGCGTGGAGTCGAATGAGGAGCTCACCCCTGCCAGAGCTTGCGTGATTACGTAGCTGAAGAGATAAGCTTCTGCTGACTTATGAGCCCTTGATGAAGCATTCCGAGTTCGATTGCACCTTGGAGAATCATGACTAAGCTAGGGACCCTTGGGTCCCTTATCTTGTTTCTCTCCTCTTATCGATTGTCGGCATGTAGTGTAGAGGTTGATTGCGGGGTAGAGTCATGCACTGTCACCAGGTGAAGTCGTACTCACTCCCTCATTGTCTGCTTTATCTTGAGCAGGAGCTTGACGAGCCCATCAATACTGGTAGTGAGGAATTTGTCACATAGATTCACTTTCTGCCTTTTCTGGGTGAGGCTCTGTTGAATCCTTGATCGCATAGAGACATGTTGTGAGCTATCCTAGTGCTCAATGAGAGAAGAGCGTGGAGCTAGCTACATCATCTCTCATCATCATGTCTCCTTGAGACATCTAATAGTGAATTCATCGGTTTGGACCTGGAATTGCATGTTTACGTGGCGTTTATATGCTGCAGTCAAGGATATTTCCCCTCTCCGGAAACAAGCTGAAGGAGGAAGGCTGAGCCGGCCGGCGGCTGAAGCATTGTGGTGTTCAAGTTGGATTACGTACAATGTGATCAAAAAGCTGACATCGCGGGACTACAACACGACATCATAAGATGCATTTGAGTCGTTCTGTGGGTTGCCAGTACCGTTTGCGGGGAAGCCTCGGGATCAAATCAATATTCCAGGCGGGAGATCTACTGCGTGGTCGAATGCCACGCTCTATGCTTGATACGCTAATTACGCTGGGTCCGATGCATGAGTGCAGACTTGGACAATGTGGAACGGTCTCTCTTTTTACTGCCCAAATGTGGTGAATCTCATTGGCAGGGCCAATCGAGGTCAGGCGATTGCCAGTGGTCTCAATCTATTGCCTAAAAGAGGTATCGTGGCCTTGGGTGGGATCCCACAACTCGGGAAGTCTAGATTACTAGCGCAGACTTGGTGTGCTGCCCGGCTGTCTGGGCCGATAACGGTCTACTCTTGGCTCCTCGACTTGTATCAGGGATCCTCGCCTTATAAGTTGGCTGTTATCCTGAGTCACGTCACCAGGTCATTTCTGGGCTGAAACGGTTCAACTCATCCGATCTTATAGTTCTTCAAATATCTTCTATTCTAGGCTTCCCATCTCACATCATTCCGTAACGCCAATATGTTCCTCATCCCAGCTTTGGCTGTAGCTGTACTGCTATTCTCCGCATGGAGATGGAAGTGGCGATATGCCACAAAGGTGTGCCTTCTTATCTTTTGAGAGAACCGACGGAGATATCTAACTTTATGGAGGCAAAGCTTGCGGCGACCAGCTCGCAGGAGAAGTCAGATGAAAAGACTGATATAACGCCCCTGAAAGATTTTGACTGGCAGAATATCGATCCTGCCAAGCACCGGCCATTCAAGCCAGTCTATCACATCACCATGGGTACTACAAACCTCGCAAAAGTAACCCTTCTTGTATTCGCATTCTAACAAAGTATCACGTTAGCTATCCAAGCGAGCCCGCCTGAAGACCTCATCATAATAGATAACAACTACCTCGACCGAGTGACCGAGCGTCGTCAACTCCTGGAAAAGCATGTGTCAACGGTAGCGGGGGCTGTGCCTGAAGGTATACCTGCTCTCCACGAAACCTGGACGTATTTGCTGTCAGAGTATCTGCCAAAGCGGTACCCAACCATGTTCTCGTTATCCGAGGACAAGACTAAGTTCCACAACCACGTTACCAAGACATCATTACCCCTCACGCCGCCAGAGGACCCCCTGGTTGCGCTCAAAGCTCTTGGAGAGACCGTGGAAGACGACATCTTTTTGCTGGTTGAGACACCAGCGGGTCATCGTGCTGTGGCGTTCGTCTGCTGCCATCCTGCTGGATTCGATCCCTCCGGCAAGCTAGGGAAGCTGATGAAGGATATTCACACGCCGGTGCCATCCTACGACAAGATTGGCGCGAGCATGGAGCGTCTCTTCTGTCGATTGCAAGTTGGGAAGAGCTTCAAGCGGATGAACGTGAGTCAACGTGTCCCTGGAGGTTAAAGCTTTCGGCTGATGAATGCTACAGTGGTCTGTGTCAACCCATGAGAACCTCTTCAGCCCAGGCAACTTGCACATCTATGAGGGTGACCAGACGGAAGAGGATGAGGATGTCGATATTACAAAGGTGAGACCAATCGTCTCGAACGTTGTGTGTGTCGCCTATCATTTACTTACACCAGCTAGGCTCGTTTGCGCCAAGAACTACAGACCTTGACCAGACTTCCAAAGACGGGAGCAATCATGTTCTCTTTCAAGACGTACCTCACCCCCATAGAAGAGGTGAAGAAGGAGGGGTTCGGGCTTGTGCTCGCGGATGCTATAGAAGGCCTGAAGAAGGGTAATGCGACTGGCATGTGGGTATACAAGGGGGCGTCGCGTTGGGGCAAAAGTGTTTGCGAGTACCTTCGGTCATGAAGAGGCAGAACTACAGACAACATGGTGGGCTTTTGGTAAGCCAGGGAGAAAGATGCGATAGCTTCTGCTGTAAGAATTCGGAGAACAGAAACAATGGATGAAGTCAATGGCGACAGCCTCTTCATCCCATCAATGAATACAACAATCATGAATGTTGTGGCTTGTCTCGCATATTCGTTGAAGCCCCGACCTTCTAGCCGGGGCGACTTGTGGATGATCCGGAGGCTCGGGCCCGGGTATGCATGCCTGTCTCGGGAGATCTCCCGCCTTATCCGTACTTCTTAACATGATTAATAGGCTCTTAGGCTTTGGGGCCTATTATACTTAACAAGGTGAGCGATAGCCGAGCAGAAGAACGTTATTTCGGGTATAACACATCACGTCATATAACGCCCTTCCCACCGCCATGCCGTCGCCCACAACCTGACAGTGGCAGCCGGTGGAGGGTTGAAGGCTGAAGCTTGACAGGCGACGTGACGGCCTTTCAAATTGAGTTTTTGGGATGAACTTGGGTGCTTGAATATTGGGTGAATATTGCACGGCGTAGGCCCAAAGAAGGGTATTCCCGGTTGTGCCGAAAAGGGGCGCTTGCGGCTTGCTTGTTTGGAGGCGGCCCCGATCCGGTCTAGTGGACCCACCCCGTGCCCCGTGTGCAAATTTCCCACCAGCAGAAGCTTCGCACCTGGGCGGCTCTCCCACGACGACAACGTCTTTTTAGCACCCCCTGCATCGTCATCCATACAAGATGCAAACAAGATGTGGGCTCGACTTGATTAACATCAAGCGCCCACCCAGCGCCCTGTTCATTTCTCTCTGGCTGTGTTGGTCCGCTTCTCCCACCCGAGCCCAGGCCCTGGCCTTTCCATGACTCCTTTCGCTGCGGAATCCTGCAGTCTCTGTCTCTTGGCTCTTCTAGCTAGCTGCTCAGTTGCTAAGTTGCTATGCCTTTCCTTGCCGCCGCTACTTGGGAGTCCTGGGACCTGCAGGCCGCACATGTACGGATATGGCGTGGCCTCATCAACCATGGCCTCACCTGAAGTCAGGGACAACTCCGCAATCTAATTCCACTTATAGGCCTCGCTTGACAGACGCTTGCAAAATGAATCCGCTGAACCGGGAAACCTTGCCGTGAAACAAGGTGCTTCTGCAAGGCCCATTTCCCCAAAGGAGCCTTCTACTCTATTCCTCGCAGCTAAACCTGCGGGGTCATCTCCTTTCCAGGAACCACGGAGCGAGGATGGATTGCAAGTTCGTCCCAAGGGGTGAAGAGCAGGAAGCCAAAGGAGACCTACATAAAAGAGCTGGTCTGCCATCGCGTGCCGCCATGCCTCGATTCATTTGAGCTTAGCTACATTCTCTACCGTACATTGAACTTCCTGAAGCAAGGCCAAGGCATCGATTGCTGCGACCTGCGTCCTCTCTTTCTTTTCGAAACATTCCATTCGTTCAAACCCTTGCATTCAAGCTTTCTCCAAGCCGCCCGGTCGGTTCAGGCATACACACGCTCATTTATACACCCAAAAACTCCCAAACCAACCACACCAATCCGCAAAAATGAAGTTCACATGGAGCATCGCCAGCGCGGCTCTGCTGGCCACCCGCGCCCAGTGCGAGATCCTTTGGGATGGTCGCTTCAACGACATGACCGCTGCTACTGACCTCGACAAGTGGTCCTGGAGCAGCCAGGTCGGCCCCTACCAATACTACATCCACGGTTCCGGCGCCACCACAGACTACGTTAACCTCTCCTCGGACTTCAAGAACCCTGCCGACACGGGCTCCAAGCAGGGTGCCAAGATCTCTCTGACCAGCACCTCCTTCTGGAACGGCCAGACCATGCGCCGTACCGAGCTGATCCCCCAGACCACCGCCGCCATCGGCAAGGGCAAGCTCTTCTACCACTTCTCCCTGAAGCGCAGTGACACCAACGCCCCGTCCCTGAACAAGGAGCACCAGATCGCCTTCTTCGAGAGCCACTTTGTCGAGATGAAGTCTGGCTGGCAGAGCGGCGCTACCGGCACCGAGGATCCCCTACTCCGCTGGGTCGTCGGCGGCAAGACCGAGTGGAGCGTCAACTGGGACGCTGACGTCTGGCACAACGTTGCCTACGAGATCGACTTTGACGGCGGCTCCGTCGGCTTCTGGCACTCCACCGGCGCCGAGGCCCTGACCCAGGTCGTCGCCCCCGTCACTGCCTCTGCCTCCAGCAACGGTGCCGACTGGCACGTCGGTGTCCTCGAGCTTCCCCGTGACGGCTACGCCGATGAGACTGAGGACTTCTACTTCTCCGGAGTCTACATTGAGGACGGCGACATCACCAAGGCCGTTGGCTCTGGATCTTCCGACGCTGGCTCCTCCGCCCCTGCTTCCTCTGCCGCTCCCGCTGCTACCTCGGCTGCTGTCTCCTCCGCTCCCGCTGCTGCCGCCCCTACCACCGCAGCTCCCACCACCACCGCCGTCCCCACTACCAGCGCTGCCCCCGTCTCCTCCGCCGCCCCTGTCGAGTCTGACCCCGCTTCCTCTTCTGCTCCCGTCGCGACTCCCGTCTCCTCCGCAGCTCCCGTTGTCTCTGAGGAGCCCTCCGCTCCCGCTGCCACTACTCCCGCTGCTGCCACCACCAGCTCTGCCCCGGCTGCCTCTGCTAGCGCCAAGCCCGCTTGCCGTCGTCGCCGCCGCCGCAACCACGCCAAGCGCAACTAAGCGTCTCTGTCGTTGACTGTGGCTTGAGGAGGATGAGAACGCTTGGATGTTCCTTTGGACTCCGAGGCGTGGAAAAGAAACACTTCTGATGTACATATCTTTTTTGCATATAAGACTTGTCACTGTGCCTATTGGACTTAGTTCTGAATATATTCTTCAGTGTACGATACCACAGCTGCCCACTTTCATGATGTATGAACTGTGAAAGTGAACTAGTGACTCACTTAAATATATCTTGACTTCACTGTAAATGCTGGTCTTTGTGGGAACAAATGGTCTAGATGGTTGAACTCGCTCGTACATTAGAGGTACTTTGCTACCTGCTCCTCAGTCCATTTCCAAAAGTCTTCGGCGAGACCTGTGCCACCATCTTCGCGTGACTTGGAGCCCTGAACGAGATCATCCCGAATGGCATAAAACCGACCCCATGGAACAACTAGGAGACATCCAGTCAGCAACTCATGAAAGTCAATAGACAAGGTCAAACTCACCCCAATCGCCCGTCTTCTCAATAGTCACGTCGGGAGATAGCGCTGCAAACAACTCAGTATAGGCACCGTTGATAGCCGGATACGTGGTAGCTCTTCTGAATAACGTCGGGATCAGCGCCGTGATGTGGCGATCCAGCTCTGATGAAAGGTTTCCCGGATTCAAGGCCTTTGCACAGTTAGTTGCCCATTCCACATGAACTCCGCCTGAGTTGTGCCAAGACTTACGAGACTGATGACGCCGTCGGCTTTGTGTCGCTTGGCGAATTCAGTGGAATGGAAGTAGTTGCCGGCCTTGCTGATGCCGTATTTGAACTCCTTGATTCTGTCCCTGCTGTAGTCGAGGTTATCAATCTCGATGGCGGGGTTCGGCGACAGCACCTCTGCGGCTGAGCTCGAAACCCAGACAACGCGACAGCTGTCTTTGGGTGCTGTCTTGGCCGTTCGTACCAGAGTTGGCGTGAGCAGCTTGGTGAAGAGGAACGGGCCGACGCAATTTGTTCCCAGCTGCAGTTCGTACCCCTGGGCTGTCTTGCTCCCCTGAGGCGGCATCATGACGCCGGCATTGTTGATGAGAAGATGCAGCTGTGTCTCCTTGGCCAGGAAAATGTCTGCTGCGGGTTTGATGGTGGTAAGGTCGGCCAGATCCAGAGTGAGGAGATCCAGCTTTCCGGTGGAATCAGGCACCGCGTCCTTGATAGCAGCGATGGCAGAACGGCCTTTCTCTTCAGAACGGGAGGTAGCGTAGACGGTGGCGTTCTTGGAGTACAGAATCTGTGCGACCTCCTTGCCAACACCAGTGTTTGCTCCTGTTACGATGCAGACCTGCGACGTGTAAGTATACAGCGACTCATGTTGATTGTATTACGCGAGACACCGACCCTGCCAGAGAGATCGGGAATGTCCTTCTCCGTGAATTGCGGCCGCGGCGGAAAGGCCTGCGTGAAGATACTGAAGGGATTGAGCATCTCGGCTTCTCTCCCTTGGAGCAATCTTGAAGCAAGAATAAACGAGGTGATCTAGACGATGCAGGGCAGAAGTTTTGACTGGAATTAGAATACAGAGTAAGGAAAGTGTGACCACGAAGACCGACGTCACCAATTAAACGGCTAGACACAAGCGCAAGAGATAGACTGATGTTCTGCAGAAGATGGTCCAGTTGTGACCGTCGGAGTCTTCATTGGCCCGAAGCTAACTTAGAATGGTGGAGTGCGCCTTTGCCGATTTAGGAACCACTCTGGACTCTCACCGAGCTAATCTCAGTCCTCTGATTGGTCAGCACACCGAGACAGGTCCCGCTGTGTTAACAAGGTGCTGACAGGCGATCGAAGCCGGCGTATAGCATCCTTAGTAAGGTATATCGAGGAGAGTTCTGATATATTTGAATATGAAGTGGTAGCGAGTTTGCATCACGATTACACAGTGGAGATTGATTAGTGGCTCGAGTTTCGCTTTAGATTTCTGAGTGCCTGAGACACTGAAACCTCAGATATAAGAATGATAGCTCACAGCACGACATGAATGAGGCAAATATCCAGATTCTGGATCGAAACTGCCGTAGTGTTCTATGTAATGAAAAGACAAGCTTTGATGGAACGAAATCGCAATCCCAAGAAATGGCAGACAGAATTTGGAAGGTGCAGTGCAACGAAGGCTGAAGTGCTCTGTCTGATGAAGACTTTAAGGTAAGGTAAGGTACCTACTCAGGTAGGTATACAGGATAGAAGGTGGCTTATCCAATGAGATAAGACTGAGTAAAACCTCAAGACGTACCTCCCCCGGCCGTGCAAGCCGAGCCACGTGATGCTTGTCAGCCGACCGGTGAGGGGTGGGGCTGCCGAAGGAACATCAGCCGGGAGTCAATTCGGTACTGTGATTGGCACGGCGTCACGGTCTGGAACTGCTGGCAGCACGAGCCAACGTCTAATGCAAGACTGCAAGACAACAGGACCCAAGACCGCTTTTTTCCGTCTTTCCTTCAGCCACACATAACCCACATTTGGCCTTTCTATTCGCCGATTTTTGTCTGGTTGCTAAGGTATCTCATTCTCCCCTGTTACGACGTACCTACCTTACGGATCCCTTACTCCATACGAAGTACACCTCACTACGGATACTGCGTACAGGCTACCCGGTCTTCAGAACAGACCACACGCTAAGGTGCCGACAGACAAGAACCAAACATCGGAAAGTGTGAGCCTCACCTTTTCCTGCCCGGGCCACAGATCGCACCACACTCTGCACGCTGCACCGACACCGCACATCCGTCGCATCTGGTTGTTTGGAACGAAGCCTCGCTGCTCCATTCTCACAACTCCAGACCACTCCCCGCCTCTCCAACTGACACCTTCTACTTCGAATTCACCAGGTGCATTACCTCTCCTTCGTGACTCCCGCCTTGGCAGCCGCGCCCCGCCGAGAGAGTCCTCACTTCAGCCTTGTGTGCGTGTGTGCGTCGGCACATTGATGCACTCCGCCGCGATATAGCCAGAGGCGTGGATTGTGCTGTCCCACATCGCACCTTCTAGTCGAATTTCCATGGTCGTCGCGCCTTTCCAACCGATGCCAAGCTAAGCTACCGATCGCAAAAAGACATGCTCTGATTCGAGACCAACCAAACAACCCACCTGCCAACTCTTCTCGCCGACTCCTCGTCTTCTTCCACCATCGACCGGCCAGCTGCCTCTCCAGGTGCTTCAAATACTCTTGCGTGACAACTTCAACCGGCCGTGCACCTGCAACTATCGGCCGCTCCGGATCGAATATCGACACCCGACATCCTGTCTACACAGATTGGTCCAGGAACATCATACACTCCGGCGGCATCATGTCTCTTCCCCGTACGTTCCTGCACTCTGGGTTTCGTTGCCTACAACGCCGTCGCTAAACTGACCTGTGCAGTAAGCTCCGAGGATGAGGATAACTACACCCACATCATTGACGGCATTCTCGCTACTGCAGACTTGACGACCATCACTCGCAAGAAGATCCGTTTGGGTCTGGAGAAAGCTCTTGGCGGGAAGGATTTGACTACTCAAAAGGCAAGATACCCAACAACCCTACCGTCAACTGCCGAAAGCTACCTGCCGATAGGCTAGGGCTAACACGAATGCTTGCAGGATGCCATCAAGGCGCTGATAGAAGAGCGTTTCGATGCGATCTCAGGTTCCAACGACGCAGCACCCGACTCATACTCCGCAAGCCCCGCCCCGAAGCGCGAAGCCAACGGCCACGACGATGATATTGATGGCGAGATTGAGGTTTCCGTCGCGCCCGTCAGGAAGAGGCAGAAGCGCGAGGACTCTTCTGAAGACGCCGACGCCAAGCTCGCTGCCAAGCTACAGGCCCAGGAAAATCAGATGGCGAGAGGGCGGACAACGCGCGGCGGCAACGGCGCAAGCAGCAAGGGTAGCAAAGCGGCCAAGAAGAAGGCGCCTCGCAAGAAGAGCGCGAAGAAGATTGATGACAGCGACGTTGAGGACAGCGGCGAACCGCCGAAACGCAAGGCTGGTGGTGGGTTCCAAAAGCCCTTCAACCTGAGCGAACCGTTGTCAGAGTTGCTTGGCGAACCCCAGGTATGATCTCTCTAGATGACATGTTGTTTGGTACCTTGATAACATGCTAACTTTTACCCAAGCTCTCTCGTCCGCAGGTTGTCAAGAAGCTCTGGGAACACATCAAGGGCCACGACCTACAGGATCCGGAAAACAAGAGACAAATCCTATGCGACGACAAGATGCATGCTATTTTCAAGCAATCTAAGGTGGACATGTTCCAGATGAACAAGATGATCGGCGCTCACCTTTACCCGGTTGAGGTTGAGGAGCAGTGAGAGCAGACTTAAGAAGGACGTGGTCCAGGATGAAAATAACACGGACGAGCGGTGCGATTTAAAGCAATGGCGTCTTTCCGGTTTGGGACGGGCAATCAGAACTTTCTGGGCGGTTTGGTTGGGCATCCGGGTACAGGCAGCAAATGGACGGCGAACCGCAAAGTACCTTATCGTGTGTGGTTGTTCGAGGAGGATAACAGTAGAGGGTGGGTTCGTTGTCGACATGGCATACCTTATTTTACATATTTGGCCATGCCGGTCGTCGCAGCCATCGCTGCAACTGCAGGCTTTACGCTACCCAAGGTAGAGAATCTGGGCTAGCTCGGCCTTTGGAATTGGTCGACACTAGTCTCCATTAAATACACTCTATTAAGATATTGGCTAAGCATCATGCCGCTCCAGTGACGCAACACCTTGGGGGTAATGATGCAAGGCCAAAGGCACAATAGCCAGGAAACAGCAGAGAGGCTTCAGCTGGTCAGAATCTCACCATGGAAGCCATGATTACCGATGAGTCATTTTGTATGCACCCCAGAGTACCTAAGGTAAGGCAGATGCGATTTCAAACCGACATCTAGTAGTAAAAGGCTTGATTTCATGATTACCTCTTGCACCGCCTCGATGAGTCGAGTGCAAAGCCACACGTGTCTTGGAACTGACTGGTGGCTCCGCGAAGCTCAGCTGTCAGCTCGTGTTCAGCATGTCGTGTTATGTAAGCTCAGATTGAAGCTTCTTGGGCCGGTGGGTGGCAGATGGCGGTTGCAGGGGTGAATGACGCACACCGAAGAGCACGGAGAAACCCCGGTCGCTTAGAATGGAAGTTCCTTAGCACTGGGTGAGCACTGAGGAGTGGCAGCAACGAGCAAGGGGACTTTTTTGCTGGACCCCGCCATGGATTCCCTCCGCCCACCAATACCAGAGCCAATCCAACCCACTCGCGGTTCCCTTGGGAGCCACACATAATCATTAATTTCGACGTACATCGTCTCGCCGTGCCCGATTAAAAGTACTGGGTAGCCCGTCTACATTCCGGATCTCTGCTCCTTTCTACTCTGGTACTAACTTACGCTGTCTCTTCAAATCACTGCGCATACACACACTTCGAAAGAAGCTGTCCAGCTGCAGCTACACCGGCCCACAATCAAGCTCAAGTGGAGGACCAATTTCGCGCATCAAAGAAAAGCACTTCAAGTGTAAGACAGTTAGCCTTGATCGAATTGTTTGGCCGACTGCACGAACCCCATTACTGGACTTCCACGCCCACTGTCTACGCGAAAGACGCCTCTCCCGATGGCCGACTCTCAAGCTGCCGGCGGTGACTCGAACCCCTCGAGGGGCAACCGCAACCGTGGAAGAGGTCGCGGTGGAGGAGGAGGAGGAGGAGGAGGAGGAGGAAGCAACTCTGGAACCCGTGGAAGAGGAAGAGGAGGACGTGGTAGAGGCGGTAACAACGCTGCTGCGCCAACTCAGCCAGACACCTCGAGCGCATCCGAGACCCCTATCGCCAAAGTCGATAACAAGGTGCTGACGCGCACGGCTGCAGCGGACGATGACACGGCGAGTAGTGACGGAGAGGTGTGCTTCATCTGCGCAGAGCCTATCAAGTTCCACTCAATTGCACCATGCAACCACAAGACCTGCCACATCTGTGGTCTGCGCATGAGAGCCCTATACAAGACCAAGGACTGTCCTCATTGTCGAGTAAGCCTTCTTTCTACTGGCGCGCCGTCGATATGCCGAGACTGACTTCAAACTAGACTGCTTCTCCCTTTGTCGTTTTCACGGATGATGCGAACAAGCGATACGAGGACTATACCGACGCCGATATCACGAGTTTCGACAGTAACATCGGTATTCGATATACCAACGAGGAAATTGTTGGCGACACTGTGGTGCTCCTACGATACAATTGCCCTGCTGAGGACTGCGTCTTCGCCGGATTAGGATGGCCAGATCTTCATAGGCACGTCCGCTCAACGCATCACATGAAGATGTGTGACCTGTGTACCAGGAACAAGAAGGTCTTCACCCACGAGCATGAGCTCTTCGCGGACAAGGAGCTCGAGAAGCACATGAGGCATGGAGACGACAGGCCAGGTGCCATTGACCAGACGGGATTCAAGGGCCACCCCCTATGCGGGTTCTGCGGATCGCGCTTCTACGACGATGATAAGCTCTTTGATCACTGCCGCGAAAAGCACGAAAGATGTTTCATCTGCGACCGGAGGGACTCGAGACACCCCCACTACTTTGTCAACTACAATGCCTTGGAGAAGCACTTTGAAAAGGATCATTTCCCCTGTCTGGACAAGGAATGTTTGGAGAAAAAATTTGTCGTCTTTGAGTCGGAGATGGACTTGAAGGCACATCAGCTGGAAGAGCATGCCAACTCTCTGTCCAAGGATGTGCGGAGAGATGCGAGGGTAGTCAACATGTCAGGCTTTGACTACAGATCGACATACGAGACCGAGAGACGTGGAGGGGGTGGCGGGGGTAGAAGCGGCGGCGGCGGCGGTGGTAGCGGTGATGGTCCTTCCAGCGGACGTCAAGGCCGTGGCCGTGGGCGGGATCCCAATGCCGAACCCATACCCCATAGCTCTGCGCAACCGCTTCGTCGGGATGAGCTTGCCTTCCAAAGACAGATGGCAATCCACTCGGCGCAGTCAGTTTCCAACCGTACCTTTGGTGGCTCGTTGTCACAGCCAGCGAGTACGATACCAGCTTCCTCGTCTCGCCGAGGCAACGGTGCAGCGGCACCTGGAGGATCATCACGCCAAGCCCCAGCAGCCGCAGCCGCCCCTGCGCCTGCGCTGCCCACGGCGGAGATGGAGCAGCTCAACGTGACTGATATTGCATCATTGCCTCCTCAGGAGAGATCGGTGATGTTGCGCCATCAAGGAGTCGTTGAGCGCGCTTCAAACATGCTCGGCCACGATGAGTCCAAGATGAAGGAGTTCCGCGAGTACATTTCAAACTTCCGAAAAGGAAAGCTGACCGCCCCTCAACTGGTGGATGCCTTCTTTTCGCTCTTCGCCGATACATCGTCAAACGCGCTGGGCACGTTGGTCCGTGAAGTTGCTGACCTGTTCGAGGATAAGAGCAAGGTTGCGGCTCTACACAAGGCGTGGCAGGACTGGAGAGCCATCAACGAAGATTACCCCTCTCTGCCTGGCTTGGGCGGTATGCACGGTGCTACAACAGCTTCGAGTGGCTGGGCCAGCGCGGCCTCGCCATCGCCCACTGCGCCAGCTGCGGCACCGAGCTCTAACCAGAAGCACTCGAACCGCGTGTTGAGGCTGAAGAACAGCACCCGAGCCGGCGCCTCGGGACCTAAGCCCGTAAGCCAGGCTGCTTCGACGAACTGGGTGTCAACCTCGGGATCCTCACGTCCTCCAGCACCATCGGCCTTCCCTGCCCTTCCTGCGGCTTCGTCATCATCCAAGTCTTCAGCACATCAGCCATCCTGGATCGGGCCCAACAACCCATCCGCCTCGAGGTCATCCGGCGCCGCAGGCCCCGTGCGCTCGACGCCCGCCGGTCGCCCGCCGCCATCGTCTGCTTTCCCTGCGTTGCCCCCGGCACAGAAGCCCCTCACCACAATCTTTGGGTACGGCACGGGCCGAGGCGTACGACGCGACCTCGGTGGTGCTGCCAGCAACTTCAGCTGGGGGTCTGCCCCGGGAAGCGGAGCCGCAAGCGAGAATGTGTCGGAGCGGGAAGACGAAGAGGCTGGTCAGAGTACCGGTGGTAAGAAAAAGAAGGGCAAGAAGGTGCTTGTCCAGTGGGGTTGAGAGTGGTCTCCAGAAGGATGGGTAGATACGAGGCGTTGCGAGATGGATGATGGGCGATACTATTTCACGGTATATCAAGCCGCGCAGTGTGTAGAAGATTGCTCAACACTAAAAGGAGTTGGTTGGCCGTACGTGGCTCTGGGGTTTGGAGGAGGTATAAAGAACAAGAGCTTGAGCAGAGTAAGGTAGACCAGAGAGAAACAGGTCTTCATATAAATAGAGTAAATGTAAACCTGGCACTCCTGGTCATTGCCTTGAGGTACAATGTGGATCGTCTGTATCGGTGAGGACCCGGATAGATTTGGCTACCTAAATACCGGTGCCTACTCACCCACCTACCAAGGGCCATCTTGTCTCGTCCAGTGCCGTTGCGAGGGGCGGAAATCTGATGTGAGTAAAGACGACTCGTTCAGACATGGACACTCCCCGAATACGGCAGCCTTGACATGGGTTATCAAGAGGGTGCAATGAGGCTCTTCAACAATTTCCACGATTTCACTGGGGCGTATCAGGTCACGTTTGAACAGAGCGAGTTTGAAAGCATAGAAAGATAATTGACTTTTGTATGTACCAAACTTTTAAAGACCGGCCGGCTCGTAGTACTCCCGGAAGCGATCAGTACTGTCCCATTCCACGGTCCACACCACGGTCCAGCAATCCAGCAACAGTCTAGGAAACTTGACTGTCCAGAACGCCAGGTATCCTTCTGGCAAGGGCCCAACTGTCCGCTTCAACGCATCGGGCATATCCTCGTAATGGTTCTTCTTATTGCGCAGAGCTCTCAGCAGGTCAAGCAGCTTGGACCCCGTGTACTTGCGCTGTTTGCCCAAAGAGTCCACAAAGTCTCGTGGGAGCAACCGGAGGAAATCTCCCTTAGTGATCGCCGGGGCATGCTGCTCCAAGTGAGCAAGATGGTCGCTAGGAGGGTCTCTGGGCTCTTTCTCGAAGTGATCCGAGACATCGCACAAGAAAGCAAGACGCTTCTTGGCGGACCAAAAGAAGGGATGAGCCATTACATCGCGAGCTGAAGGACGCTCCTTGGGGTTCGCATCCAACATCAAGCCAATGAGATGCTTCGCCTCGTAGGCAAAGTCGCCGAGTGCATCCAGAGGGGCCAAGTTATAGTTGCCTTTGCGGATGTTCACCTCCCGCATATAACGATCGCCACAGTCAAATGGATGGGAACCATTTGTCAAGACGTAGAAGAACACTAAGCCCAAGCTGAAGATATCAATCGAGCGAGTGGCACGACGGTTGGACATCATGTCGGAACCAACGAGGATAGATCCCGACCCGCTCTGGATACTGGACTCCATGGTAGCAGTGTCCCTAGCATCGTCGTCGAGTAGCAATTCAGGCGCTCGCCAGCCAGAAGTTCCCGCAGCGCGGCCAGTGGTGGCACCGAAGGAGGACTGACCACCCTCTAGCTTTTTGCAGAGACCAAAATCGGATACAAGAAGGCGTGGTCGTCCGTCTTTGCCCATGTTGACCAAGATGTTTTGAGGCTTGAGATCGCGATGGACGATGCGAAGATTGTGCAGATGATGGATACCGTTGGTGATTTGGTACAAGACACCGGGCAAATCCATCTTGCCAGCTTGAGCCAACCGGGTGAAGTGATGAGGCTTCTCGATGACATCAGCTAGAGAGGCTGCACAGCGCTCGAGAGCAATGTACAGGAATCCATCTCGTTGTTGTTGGGCATAGTATCGAATGACTAGAATTGATTGTTAGAGCTTTCCGCAAACGCAGGCCACTATTATCCTTACCATTCGGATGGTCGTCACTCTCTCGCAACAACTTTGTCTCTTGGGAGGCAATGTCGTAGAACTGGATAAGCATTCGCTTGACAGCCACTTCACGCCCATCGAATCGACCAGCAAAGACCAGGGTACCATTGCTGCCTGTGCCGAGTTGATTCTCGGTGTCGACTTCGATGCCGCCCATTTTGATAATCGATTCTCCAACCGCCTGCATGTCGTTTGTCATGGTCATGACGTCGGGTTCCAAACCAGTGGCCTGTACGCCCAGCTTCTTGGCCTTATTGACGGCTTCCTCCACGGAAGCAGGCGGCTCGTCGTCGCGGGACTGCGACATCTCCTCTCTCTTCTTTCCCTTTCGGTGCTTTGTACCTCCGCGGCGACCGCGGTGAGCAGGCTTCTTCTTTTTGACCTCAGGGGTACCGGGCTCAGGAGGAGTGGCAGAGGTCTGCTTCTCCACACCTGCAGCAGATGGATCCGCGATAGGCGTCTTGTCGCCGTCCTTCTCTTTCTCAGCAACAGGCTCAATTGAGGGGACTAGGCTCTCGGGCAGGGGCTTCTTCTCGGCAATAGGTTCTTCTGGTACCAGAGGTGTAGCCGCCCGCTCAGGAGCAGGTGGAGGGATCTCGTCATGTACTGTATGCTCAGGAGTAGCATCGGCACCCATGTCCTCTGTGTCAGAAGCGGCCTCATCTCGCATATACCACTTTGTCGTCTTGGTCTTATACCAGCGACGTAGATCCTTCTGGTAGTAAAACAGAACAGAAACGATGAGCACGATCAAAACAGGATTTGAGAAGAAGTCGATGACGCTGTTGGAAACATGGTGCGGAATCGACTTGACTTTGTTGACAATGGTAGGCGTCTCTACAGGATCGTCGCCTGGCACCGTAGTGGGCAGCGCTGGGTGGCTTTCGGGGTCCACGACTGCATCAGACGCTTCTGGGCGTCCAGGTAGACTGGGAGGTTGGTAGATCGGGCCTCTGGTGACACCATCCATGTAGTGGGTTCCGACCATGGCTCCAACTCTCTGCGTCTCATTCAACTTGCCCCATGGCTGGGCAAGCTGGATCCAGTCAGGTGACGAAGTCTTGGCTACTGGAGCGTCCAAGATGAGAGGATAGGAACGCCCAGATAAGGCATACCAGTTGCCCATGTCTGTTTGATTGACAAAGATGCGTTGGCTTCGGATACGAGCGTTGCTGTCATCCTTGGCTGGCGGGACAGGTTGAGGAAGAACGATGAGATCAGGGTTGCTCAATGGTTCCAGTCCCACAGGCCTGCAGACATCGAAAACCTTGACTACAGGCGAAGCAAATTGCGCGTTACAGAAAATGGGCAATTTGTCCTTGTGAGCATTGGCATAGTCAACGCCATAAATCTTGCCATCGTGTGTGGTGGTATGGTAGCGCTGGTCGATGGATTTGTGGTGTTGGTTGAGGAGGTCGTAGTCATTTGTGTTGGGAGTCCAGTCGAAGAACTTCAGTGTAGCGATGGGTCGGCCATCTCTGCGAGCTATGCCGACCTCGTACTCGGTGCGGCCTAGAGTGATTGTCCCGGTTGAGCTACACTCCTCGTTGTTCTGGTCGTATAGAGCATTCGGGCGCAAGCAGCTCTCTGCTTCGTTGACGTGGGAGCCTCCGGAGCCGAACCACTTGAGCACACGGCCTGTCGCGGCATCAAGTGTGATCATGGTGGTCTTCTTGGTACCAGTGTAGACGATTGGGGGATTGTCGAGGGCCGAGGCGCCTTCGTCAACCATCTGCTTCATGGTCAAGCCGGTGGATAGTAGTCTGGGCTCGGTGGAGCCTGCTGGAGACCAGTAATAAATGTCCCCATCACGGTTGGGCTCGATGGCCCAAATGTAGTGGTCGATGTGGTTGTAGTCATCGTCCAGGTCGGACGCGTTGAGACGGTAATGTTTTGTCTCGACCATTGACTGATCGACCTCGAGGTGCCAGCGTTCAGTGGCGTGGTTGCGGTCACTGGCATAGAGGTGTCCATCGACGGTCGCCATAAGAACGAAGTCTTCTACTTCCCAGTCCTTCAGACTCCGCGCATGGTGCTGCGTAGAGATCCCACCACCTCCGACGCGGGAGGCAATGGGTCGATGTCCAGAAGGAGGTGCTCGCACGGACTGAGCCGGAGCCAAAGTTGCGATGGCGCTCGCATCGTTAGGAATATATATGTTGTCGGGGTTGGACCGACGCTCGTGTTGTTGTTTGTTGGGTTGGGGTTGTGTTTGCTTCGAGGTCACAGAGTTTCGGCGCCTCGGAGACTCGACAGCATTGTCGGCCTTGATGTTGGTGGCGGCCCAGTTGCGGGCGACCTGGTCGGGGAGTACATCACGAACGGCTTCGTGTTGACTACTTCCGGCAGCGGGTTGGTGTTGTTGAACTCTATGTATTTGGGCTACGGGCTCGATGGGCTTTTGCTGTTGCTGAGCATCAGCGAGGGGGAGGCATGAGATGGCGAGAACAGCGAGAGCGAGCAGGTAGGTTCGCTGACGAGCAACGCGCCTCCCTTCGCCTGGAGGCCGTCGCAGCATGGTAGTTGTGTTGTTATGGAGGAAGGGATTTACATCAACGCTTCCCAGTATTGTTCAAAGTGCAGGCGAGACATAGGAGCAGCCGTGGGCGGCGGAAAGGTCGTGTTCGAGGTTGTGGTGTTGATGGTCCGACGGCGGCAGAGAACCATGTGAATGTGGGTTGGGCTAGCGAAGTAAATCGGAGCCCACAACGACGAAGGAGTAGGTACACAGCAAGTGGGATGCAGCTGTGGATGCGTATGGAGTATCAACAGGATGACTGTTGATGGATGGGAGGATTCGTTGACGGAAGTGAGGATGAAGATGAAGTTAGGAGTTGGAGATGAAAAGAAGCAGTGGTGGTTCGTTCGGGAAAGAGGGAGCAGGAGTGTTTGGTTTGAATGCTCTTTCTCTCCTTCTCTTCTTTTTTTGACCCTGTCAGCTTGGGTTTTTTTGGGGGGTAAAGCACAGGTACACGCACACGCACCGGGGGTAAACCAAGCATGGAAGTCACCTCGAGTCTTCCGTCCTTGGTACGGATACCTAGAGGAACCTGGAGGAAGTTGGGGTCTCTGCCAGCCAGCCCAGTGCCTGCAGTCTGCCCACCCATGCCACCTCAGTGAATGGGATGTCAAAATGACCCGGTCGAACACTTTGAACTGGCGGCAGGCGGGCAGCGGGAGGGCTGTGGAAGGCAAGGGAAGCTCTTGGGGGGGCTGCAAGTACACAGTACGTGGACGAGGCAGTTTGTGGGTGTCGTACGACCGGGGCAGTGGGCTGACTAGGATTACCTTTGACCGAAAGGGGGCCAGGAGATGAGAGAGGAAACACCACGGGCAGCGCACAGCACCGGGCAGACAAACCACTGAAGACTCGAAGAGACTGCCTACACAGGCATGTATACAGTACATATAAGCCACATCAAATAGATGCACTGTCCATCCCCGCCATTCCCGTCAAGCGAGCCCCGCCCACCGCCACACCTCGGCCACTCAGAGCTCGCAACTTTTCCCCCAGTTTCAAAAGGGAGGAGAAGGAGCGTCCTAGAGGCGCACCTGTACCACCAGCACCACGCTTTTTACGGCTTCCCTCCACATCCACCCACCCGACTTCTTCTCTTCTCCTCCCACTGCTTCACCGTCGACTCTCTCACGCTCAAGACTACCTTAGTGCAAGAAGACCAGCCCTTGGAAGCCTCAAACCGTGGCAAACTGAAATCGCGGGGGTTTCCCAAGTTTCCTAACCCAAACAGCATGATCTGCCAAACCCCTCAACATCCTGTCGAAAAGCGGAACACTGATTTGGCGATCAGGTTCGTCCAACCAGCCCCATATGCTTTGTGCTACCTTCAACTACATTCATCAGTCACCAATACCACCAATGTTACCATAACCTCCCGATATTCTAACAGAGAGAATCCAGGGTCCTCGTTAGGGCTCCGCGTCCCGAACCCTTGTGCCAGCCCCCCTAGCAGTAGCCGCTCGCCCAGTCCGAATCGACATGGCTCTACCGAGTAGCGCTCCAAGTCTTGACCCGAGTTGCCTAGCGGCCGGTGTCGCAATCCTGCAGTTGCCAGGCTTTCTGTAACAAGGTCTTGCCCGCACGCATGAGGTCAGCTCAGCACAGTGCACCACTGTTTTCCAAAACCTCAACAAGGGGATATGCGTAGCGCCATCGAGTCTCCTCCTCCACCCGGGAACTTCTGTGACGGGCTGCGAATGTGGCTGGACCTGCGTTCTTGAAGACGACGATCCACAAGACCCAACGAGACTGTGACCTCGACGACCCTCGACCATCCGGGAGCTAGCTGCTGCTGTCCACTGTGCTGCATACTACTCCGTACGGATATGTATACACACACTCACTACGCACCACGCACCACGCACCACGCAATGCTCCAAGGCTCGGTCTACATGGTGGTCCCGTCACTGCTGACTGTCTTCAGTGTCTTGCAGAGAACATGGCTGTCTGAGGTCAACAGTGGGTTTCCCCAATTCGTTTCCATGGTTGGCTGCCGAATCGGAACCTATCCAGCGCCGCCCTCAAGCCCGTCGAGCCCGTCGAGCAACGGATCACTCGCCGAGTCTGTCGATGCGGATCGTGGGAGCGCTCATCTTGGATTCTTGGTTGACGACATCGCTGATCCAGCAGATCAGGTGTATCAGACACAGTGTCCTCAAGGGATGCTTCTCTTTAACACCGCCGCTACCTGAACGTCGTCCTTCGATGCCGGCTGTTCCTGCAGCTTCGTCGTCACTGGTTGGCAAAATAGGACCGGATGGAGGTGCGGGAAGCAAGCACCAAGCAAGCAAGCGACAACGAGCACCCACGCTCTGGGCCTCTGGCGAGGTGTGCCACGGGAGAATAGCCGACCCGGCCCTATCACACTGTGTCGGCATCGCCCCAGAACTGCAACATTCGTACCTTTTTACAAGACACACGCACGAGACGTTATCCTGTCGGCACATGGAAGACAACTGGAGCAAGCTTGTCATCCTAGGTACCCCACTACGCAACTCGCCACCCCCTGATACTTGTCCGTCGCCCACCTCACCCAAGTCACGACAAGCACGTACGGAGTACTTCTCACGAATACGCAAACAAACAAACAAACTGCTATCGTCAGGGTATTCTGCACGGCGTACGAATCTTGATGGCCTGCACATGTGTAACCACTTTCCGCCAATGTTTGGTCTCGACTCTCGTGAAAAACTGTCGTACTCTTCGCCTTTCAGCCGACGAAATCTTCTTACGGTCGATCAACCCCCTCAGCCTTCCCCTTCGTACGGAATCTTTCCTCCATCTGGAACTTGACAAGTGACAAGACGCGACATCCCAGACATCCCGCCATCCCTTTCGTCTTGGCCCTTCTTCCCACTGCGACTGTCTCCCTTCGCAACGAGCCGACCTGCAACGCGAGCTCGTCCCATATCCCTTGCTTCGGTGCTATCTTCGCAAGCTTTACACTTTTGCCAGTCCGAACGGCCCAAAACTCTACGCGGGTGCCCTGCCCTCGGTCCGCCGCAATAATACCAACTGCACAGCAATAGAAATTGTACCAAACACACCTAACAGGCTCACGGAACATTCCAGCAAACCTTGCTTCTTCCCCCTCGACTTTCGAGGCTCTGACGCCCGCGCGTGTAATAAAGCACGGACAAGATGCAGCCCACGACTCGACATACTTTTCGTCCTGCAGGACTAGCACGTATCAAAAGACCCCCACGACGACAGCCTCAAGCCTGCAGTCTCTGTTTCTACTCCGTATCTTGCTTTTGCGATCTTTCTAAGCATCCAAGACGAGTAGCGCAAATAATAGTGGCACCCGAATCTCATTGATGAATGCACACGCATCTCGCAACATCCACTTACGGATATCTGGCTTCGAAGTGCGAGACTGCGAGGAGTCTTTCCAAGGTTCGAATGCCGGCACCCGCTTGTGAGCCCGAGTGCGAACAAATGGTCGACGATCCCACCAAGCGGGGCTCACTATTGTGTGATTTGGATCTCAGGTTCAGGCCAACGGCTGGCTCCGGCGACCCCCGGTCCAATGTCCCAGCGGGTCGGGATTGATACGATGTTATTTCGAGTCTTTGCGAGTTTCCAGCCCGGACTCCGAGCTCCTTTCCAACTTTTCAACCACATGTGAAATTATCGAGTGAATTATTGAGCTTCGCCCTCTTGGACCCCATGGCCGGGCCCGCCTTTGATATTCAACATTGAGAAGCAAAAACCGAGACTTCATCTCATTCTTGAAGAAATCGTCTTCCAACAAATGTCAAGGCCGCATCTCCCATGCTGCGCCTTGCCGTTAGCGCCCGGGGACTGCGCGTATCCTCAGCCCGCCCGGAGCATCCAGGAAAGCCGGCCCCTCGGTGGGTATTTGTAAAACTGCAGCTGACTAAAAGGCGCAAGCTTCCAAAGCTTCTTCGACAGGCGAGCATCGGGTCCTTCTGCACGTCACAGTCTCTGCCCTGTCGAACCTGCTGCGTCCGGGTGCCCCCAACCCCCAAAATCAAATGGGCCTCCGCCCTTGGTCGCTAACGGTCTCGGTTCCAACGGGTACGGGGGCCAAGGGCTGTGTGTCAGACTCGTCGTTGGTTGAACGTTTGGACTTTGGAATGCAGCACAGCGAGTTACCAAATGAGACCATGGTCAGTTACGTTTATGTCTCTGGTAAAGACCTGTCTATGCTTGTTCCCTTCCCCAACGGAGCGGTTTACATGGAACGCAATTGACGAAGAAACTCGATCTTCCTGATCTGGTTCCAAGACCTTGATTGAAAGATCAATCAATATCATTTATGTCAAGAGTCGCAGGCAAGCTGAAGGATATGAAGGGTGTGTCGTATGTGAGCCTTCCGATCTACGATACTTCGTCGAACCAACCTATCTTGCATTACTACCTTATACGAGGCTCTTGAGCAAACACCCACCATGATTGGCTCTTCTGCTTCGATTAGAGCTATTCTCCGGATGGTCCAAAGTCTTTCAATGGTCTCAACGATCCTCGTCACATTTAAATCATCGACCAATATGCACAGGTACTTATCAAAGATACTAATCGTGATTTCGTTTCTATGGAAAGTGTTGAAAATGGCAGATCTAAATGCCCTCTAATTCCCGATGCAAACCCCCAGTGATAGTAATTAATCATTAAAGAGGAACCGGCGCTAATACAATGGAGCAGTATAAACTCCTAGCGTAGTCGGTCCCGTTGAATATTCACAGAAGAACTGGCGGTAGTCTTTGTGGTGGATATGTACGAAAACTCTCAACTCGTCATTGTGACTAGCAAGTCTTGCCCTGGTTGACAGCTGGAAGTGCCATTGTTAGCCATGGCTTCTTCAATGTAGTTTTGAGTGTGGTGATCGACTTACCATTGGCGTAGACCGCATAGGTGTCTGCGTGGTTGAGGTTCTGGGTGCTCGTGAGAGTCTTCAGTGCAGTGTAGCCGTAGATACCATAGTCCAATGTTCCCTTGACTTCGAGCAAGTGCGTCATCTCGTGCTAAACAATCACAATGGTTAGCTTGAGCTCGATGATCCTTAAGGTAAGGTTGTTACTTACCAGAGTGGTGGTCGACTGATCCTGGTTGTGGCAACCAGTGGTGAGCAGAGGAAGCGCAGTGAAGTACAAGGGGCAGTTGACCATGTACTTGTAAGCCGGGACAGTGTAGGCCAAGACACCGGGCGAGCAAGACTTGTAGACGTCGCTGCAGTACTGCTTAGAGACGCCCTTGTTCCGGGTGCTGCACTCGGAAGCAACCTTGTTAAAGGTGTCGATGACAATCTTCTTGCTGGCAGCGGTCGTCGACTTGAAGTACTCGTTCAGGCGCTTGTCGTCCTTGGAGACGTAGTCGGCGGCGGCGCGAGCGAGCTTCTGGCAGCTGATGAGGGCGGCGGTGACGGTGTTGTTCTGGGTGCCCTTGCAGTCTGACTGGACAATGGTGCGCTTGATCATCTGCTTGTACGAGGTGCGGGTGAGGGCGGCCTTGGTGACGTTGACGTTGTTGATGTTGAGCGTGTTGCTGGCAATACTGAAGACGCCTGCGATAGTGGTGGAGCCGGCTTGTGCGTAGGGGATGCCGCCGTTGACCATGACTTTGAAGGCGTCGTCGCTGCCCAAGTCGTGGAGCTCGGCGAAGTCGACTGCGGATGTGAATGTTTCGCCGGCCTTGATCGTTCTGAAGGAGTCGTCGGTGAGGAGGTTCTGGGGTGCCATGCGCAGGCGGACGCCGTCGAAGGGGAGGCGGTTGTTGTCTTTGTAGACTGAGTTAGCATTGTGATGTTGAAAGTGTTTTGAAAGAGCGGTCCTTACCTCCATTGAAGACGGCGACTTTCTCAACGGCGGCTGTGTCCAAAACGGTGCCGGGAGTGAAGATCTTGAGATCCTTCTCGCTAATATTCGTCACGGAGATATTGAGTCTCGTGTTGCCGGTCGGGACGATAGTGACATTTAACGGAGTCGCGTCGGCCCTCTCGGCGAGCTCGATGGGAGAGGCGCTCACGAGGGAGGCCAGGATAGTGAGACCAATGGAGAACTTCATCTTGACTTTGCGAAGGCGGAGAATGTCTCGAGTTGTCAAAGGTGAAGAGTTGAGGATGTTGAGAGAGGGCTGTTTGGAGTTGAGTGTGATGATCCAAAAACAAAAAGCCATGAGGTGGAAGGAATCCAGTTTGTCTTTATACAGAAGTGAATTGCTTCAAACGGATCTCACCGTTCAGCCCACGATGCCACTCGAGGGGACATGAAACCTGGGCTGGCTCCCCGACCCGGTTTAGGGAGCAGAGCGGCCGTGGGCTCAAGCCATGCGAAGTCGCAGTCTGGAAGGGAATGGAGGCTCCCATGGGTGGTCCGATGGCTAAGAAGAGTCCATGGGGCGGGAGGCGCTTCTGCCCATTGTCGGAACCAAAGAATTGACAACACACCTTACTTGTGATCAACAGGAGAACCCTCACAAGGGGGGCGTATATGTACGATACCTCCAAAGGAGTGCGAAGTTGGAGAGCGGCTGCGTACTTTCACCAAGAAAAGTTGGACACTGCCTAGAATCGGTAAAGGCGTCAGGCTCAAGTGGTCTAGCAGAGAAAACGACGGGTTCCGTCTCGATGGGACAGCTTGGGTGGTGTAAGCCACGAAGAGCAGATGCGGAAACTTCATTGAGAGGGGAGACGAGACATCGGGCGCCACTAGACCTGTGTCCTCTGTCGTCCTCCGGCTTCTTTGGCTGTATGTAACAAATCGCACGTAGATTATGCCAGGAGACCTAACGATCATGTAGAGACCAACTCTTGCCGATCAGCAAGTGATCAGCAAGTCTCCACGAGGACCACGAGTCTTCAACTGCCGTGCCCCTTGGATGAAAGGGCTTCTTACAGATACAGTCCTACGGTCGGAGCGGACTCCATGGGGCTCTGTCGAGACCCAGCGGACCCACCGTCCGCAAACGGCATTCGGGATCCTGGGGATAAAGAGCCGTGCAAAGAGCCCGGGGAGCCGTAGCCTCTTCTGTATATGCTAACCAAACCGCGCCTTGCTGTATGTCTCCTAGAGACAAGGAGCGGGAGTGAGACATGGCACCAAGGCGTACCCTAGGTAGTTGCGAGACAGGGGCTGGCTGACGAGTAAGACAGGGATTCTCCGTGCCCGGAGGGGCAGCTTGGGTTCGTTACCGGTACTAGTTGTCAAGTGCTCTGTTATCAATTGAAGTGGTGTCCCGAGTTGCCGGCAAACCAAGTGAGACACGCTGTGATGGATTGGAGTCTGTAAACGGTCTTCACGTTTTGCTCGTTCGAGATGACGTCGGTAGCAGAACGGAAACATCACCGAAGGGCCTCGACTCATGGACCGGTGGTTGCGCGGGCAACTACCGGTCGGAGTGGGTCTACCGAAATTGTGGGTCTTCGGCGCCGGTGTCCGTATCGTTGCTTACATGCAGCAATTTGGCGACCTTCCTTTTTCGTCCGTAGACCAGCGCGCGAGGTTTTGCTGCACCAAGCCTGGAGCCGAAGAAGTACGTCTCCATCATGCCAATGTAGCGTCGTCTGAAGTCGTGCCGCCAGCTTAACCGATTCAGAGTTTAGGTAGGTAGTCTCCAAGGGGTGGTGGGAGAGCAGGGGATGGCAAAGGCGCATCTTTCTTCGATACCCTGTAGAGTGCGGGGTCTCCCGCCGTCCGGCTGAATCTGTCATCTAGTTCATCGCAAGTAGGCAAGTTTAGTTGGCGATAGGGTAGCCTCCGTCGCGGATAGAAGCGCGAACCCGATCTGCCGGGTTCTCTAGATAGGAGCTTGGTCCACCACGAACCACATTGCCGTCTACATCGGAACTCTCCCGTACAACTTCACCTACGCCGCTGACACCATCACAAGAAGGCTATGGTATCCGTAGCTTCAAGTCATGGACCGTGGCAAGCGTGGTATTTGGTCCGTCCCACGGAACCAAACTCACGTGGCTGAAGCCGCTGGGCATTCCCCGGCAGACGGCTTTTCCTCCTATTTCAAGCTTAGTGCGCGCGTTCTCGCGACAACTCATTCCACTCACCCACGTTGCCTTTTTGTTCTTACCAGACATTCAAACAACAATAGGCAATCTCCAGCGGCACCGGTAGGCGGCCGCATTTGATCGATTTGACGTCACCTGGCATCTTCCATGCCACTTGCCCGCCTTAGGAAGCTGTTCCGCTTCAGGCATATCCCGCTGACCGCGTCCACTTGCTTGACCTGCCTTCATAGCCTCGTTTCTCAATCCCACATAACACATTTTTTGGAGAGCAAAAGAGCTTGCAAGGACCTCCCACGATACTCACTCAAGCCCTCACCTACCGCCATCTTACGGCCGCCATCTTCCACGCCATCTCCAACAAACCGCTAAAATCGATGAGCAACTACCAAGCCCGTTCGCTCTTTCGGCCTATCGTCCTCATCGTAGCCCTCATCTTCATCCTCTCAACCTGGAATCGCAGCGGTTCCTCCCGGGACACCATGGCGCAAGAGAACCAGCACGCCGGCGCGCTATCGAAGCTCGCCCTCCGCATCCGTCAGACGTCCACAACACCTCCCACCCTCACCTTCTCCGTGGAAAACAAGCACGACGCCCCGCTGACCATCCTCCGCTGGAACACGCCCCTCGACCCCCTCGCCATCCAGGTCGGCCTCGTCTCCATCACGCCCGAGGGCAAGAGCGAACCGATCGAGGTCCACACTGTTCAGCTGCGCCGGGTCATGCCGCCGCGCCCGGAGGACCTCGTCACCCTCCAGCCCGGTGAGAGCAAGTACCAGGAGGTGGTCCTCAAGGAGCCCATCGTGGCGCTCGATACGCTCGGCAAGACGGCACGGGTGGCTGTTAAGGGCAAGTGGCAGGTTGTTTGGCCCACGACGGCGGACAAGCTTAGCCAGGCGACGCTTGAGAAGTTGCAGTTTGGCGAAGGGGTCTTGACGGGTGAATTCGAGAGTGAGACGATAGATGTCACGATTGGTTAGGACGTGGGGGAAGTTAGTCAAGTCACACAGATATCGATATTCTCTTGTTTCCTCGTTACACCACCTATCAAACTGTTGCAAATCGTCAACCCACTTATCATCCCCTCTTACTCAACTAATCCGATATGGCATTCCATCATGACAAAGTTCCAAGCATACGTCTGTTCGTCACATCTAGGTAACCCGTCACGCGAGGACTCCTTCGCAAACGTCGAAAATAACGTGTCTCGAAAACGTGGCCTGGGCATGGTCTACGCGGACCCTGGCCAACCAGCTGAATGTGACGACGAGGCAAATCACATTGTTCTGGAAGGGCCTCTGTAAGCATAGGAAACGTCGAAGTCAGGATGTCTCAGACGAATTCGCCGTGTTCGGACTGGCTAACTCTAGCTCCTCCTGGGATCGGTCCCCTGCCTACCTACCTTACCCCATCATCCTTCATGGCTGGGCTAATAGTTCCCGCGCCCATGTATCCCGCAGCCTCCATCTCTCGCCGAATCTCAGTGACAGAATGTTGGCTTCAGTCTAAGTCACATCGGCTGATGCCCAGGCGGACGGGAGAATAGTCTCAGATCACGGCCAACATACTAGGTATCCCGCTCCGATTGCCGTAGATCGTGAAAGACTACACTCGAGTAGTCGACTCTAGCATCCTGTCAAGGTAATCCAGAAAGGCGCCAAACAACTACCGAATCTCTAGGCCCCGGAGAGACGTTGCCTCTTCGGACAAAGCGGCCGACCTAAGAGTCGACGGTCTCGAGACTGGAAGCCCGCCGGCCCCAATGTCTCGGTGCTGTCATTGATCCCACCGCCCACACCATCCGTCTGCCGCTCCCTTCTGTTGGTCTACGACTGTCTTGCTCGACTACTACCAAAGAACTATGGGCCTTCTCGCCACAGCGCTGTCAAAAAATGCACGGTCGAGACCCGGGCCCGCCTCGTGCGAACCACGTTAGTCCCTCGTGAGAAAACGCTTTCTCCGAATGGCATCCTCTTTCTCTGCTGCCATGAGGGTCGTAAGCATGGCTTTTCCGACTTCCGCATGCAGTTCGCATCTTTCTTCGTCCCCTCCAACACTGATGGATAAACTCTATTGGTTCCATAGACTAAGTAGGGGAGTCGAATGTAGGCCCGGACCCTAGGAAAATCGGAATCCACTCCGAAGTGCCGTTCATCTGACGGGCGTTTTCTCTCTAGAGTAGGCCCGTTACTTTTTTTTTTTTTTTTAAAAAAAAAACCGGATTTGCTGTCCCAAGACGTACTCACTTTCCGCATCCATCACACATCTTCACGCGTCGCCCACGTTCACGGCGCTTCTCAAGCTAGGCACACGCAAAAGGACCACGGGCATCGTTGAGGACGGAGAAGTCTCCTCTCGAGGTCCACGCGGTCCACGCGGTCCACGCCTACAACTGCTGTGCCTGAGACACCCTGCAGACCAGAGTCGAGAACCCAGATGACGAAGTTTTTGTTGACACGCGAGATGTTTGCTAGATTGAAAAGTAGCGAATCTAGCCATAGAGTCTAGAACCCAGAGCCCGGTGACTCGTTGTTTTCGTCGAGATGATGGTTAGAAATCTACTGCGACTACCACTTCTTTACATTTCAAATCCATCAGGTGTACGTCCGACCGACACCCTAGTCTAGGTTGAACTTTTCTTTTTGCAGTATTCTTTACTAGTCTCATATTTTGTTATTATCACGGTCGCATCTAGTGGAATCTGATGCCATGCCGTGTTACCCGTTCTAGTTGACGCCCGACGGCATCTAGCCTCAGAACTGCACCAACACGCTCGAACAATATCTCGAGAGGCTTTTTGCAGACTGTTTTCATCATGGAGGTCCCCCAGTCTCTCAGTATTGGTATCAACTATCAGGCTTTCTGGCGGGGAGTCATTTACACGAGAAGCTTTTCTCTGCTGAAGCGAGGATGCAGCCCCCCCTTTCCCGTAACTTCCCATTCTTCCGCATGCCTGAGACTTGCAAGGCAAGAAATCGCTCGCCCAATTGCTTGATAAATTAAGATGAATAGTTAAAAAAGCCTTCAGAAGTATGGGCAATTCTATGAGATAAGTGAGTTTCGACCCCGACCGACATGGTAAGTGTTACCCGTTATATCAACTCAGATACCAGCACTGACTCATCTCGCAGAATTCGTAGAAGGAACCGCACTCCCCTCAAGTTCACAATGATTGACAAATGCTCCACTGTGCACCCACGTTCCATCTGCCTTCTTGAGACTCAACATCACGGCAGCGGGAATGTCAAAAGGGTTGATGTAGGCTCGCATGTAGGCATTATGCAGTTCCATAGCGAGGTTGCACTCACCGCATGAGGTGAGACTGGGATATGACTATAACGAGTCCCATCTTCGACACGGGACATTCAACCAATAGACAAGAACATCGTGGTTACATGATATATAGGAGCCAACCCGAGTCTGATTGAAGTCTAGGTCTCGGACCGTTAGGCCCATGAAGGAGCGGGAGTCAAGTGACCACAAATGACCGTTTACCATGTTCCATACCAGAGCCTTGCGGTTGCAAAACATTCTCTACCTTAGCATGGCACGAACTCATCCTACCCCGGACGGACCTACGTCGTCTCTTCAGGTTAATCAACATCGGCCGGGCTAGAGAATCTTTGCTGCCTAAAATCGTGCCATGAGGAACCATCTGCATTAATAACAACATTTCGACCGAAACATGTCCTAGATACCAACATAAAGGCGAAAGGGCACAAGGTGCATTCACCTCAAACAAGCCCAAGAGCTTTGACGATTTGACTGACCAGACTTACACATTGATTTCAGTGTGTTTAACATATTCCACCTATACCCCGGTGCTACTACCTGGCAAACACCTAGCGCACGTTACAATTGAAGCAAGACGTCAAAATAATAACCACCTGCATACCACCGGCCTCGTCCTTAAAACGGCACTCCGGTCCCCTCTTTTTTTCCCCCCTTTCGGATCCGCGCAACCCGGAGCGGTCGGTACAGCAGAAGCAATGTCGTCTCGGTTAGCAGAGCCCCACGAAACGCAGGCCTAGACACTAACGCCCAGTACCGCCGTTACCGTTACCCGCGTACCTTACTCTGTACGTGCTCACGGTCCATTCTTTTCCCCCAAGCCATCAGCACCAGCACAAGCACAAGCTCCTTCCCGCCTAGGACCCCCAGGTCTGTCTTTTACCATCGGATGATCAGTCATTGGCTCATCCGGATTCGAGGGGCGTTCCGGCGTCCGCAAGGTCGCGTGCGCACCCCGCACTCTCTCCACGATCAGGATGAATTGAACCGAACCTTGCGGATTCTTCAGCTGGCCGTTTCCCAGATACATCATCACCTCGAAGCCACAGACTCCCGTTACTCGGGGTTTGTGAGCAACGTCCGCTCATGGGTGGAGGATCACAGGCTGGTCCTTCTTCAAGCGCCTAGCAATGAAAGCAAGCTGTCGTATTCATCACGTAGGAAATGGCTACCAGTCATGGCGGTGTAATCGGAATGCTCGGAAGCTATCATTCTATTGCTATCTCTCTCTCTCTCTCTCTCTCTCCGTTTGACTTCTGTGTCTATGGATCTATCCATTTGATACTGGTATATATAAAATGCTAACGCCTTGCCAGTTTTTTGCACTATGGCTTCTATACCGTCTCCAGGTCTCCCTGGGCTTCCGCGCTCGACTCGACATTACCACAGCGTCCTCGGAAGATCGCACATTAACGAGACTTGACAGCCAGGCCCAAAGCCCGAATAACTCGGCGGTACGAATCGCCGTAGTCCTACACTAGCATATGCAGAGAGGGCCATCGTGGACCGGCTCATGAGATGACACGACCTTGTTTTCCTTTTTCGTTCAGTCGCTCAACGCCGTGACTTAGTTCACCGCACCCTTGATAGGGGCAGTACCAATACCGTTGTGGTTGCGGAAGAACAAGACACCCTTGCCCTCACCCTGGGCCTCGGCACTAGGCTCAACCCACTGGCACATACGCGCAGACTTGTACAGGGCCTTGATGAAGCCAACCGGGCCATCCTTGACATCAGCACGGTAGTGCTTGCCCATGACAGGCTTGATGGCGTCGGAAGCCTCGTCGGCGTTGTAGAAGGGAATGGTGCTGATGTAGTGGTGAAGGACGTGGGTCTCGATGATACCGTGGAGGAGGTGGCGTCCGATGAAGCCCATCTCGCGATCGATAGTGGCAGCGGCGCCGCGAACAAAGTTCCACTCACCGGCGGTGTAGTGAGGAAGGGTAGGGTCGGTGTGCTGAAGGAAGGTAATGGCAACTTGACAATTTGTCAGTCAACAGTCAGGAGTAAAAGAAGGCATTTTGCACTTACCGAGCCAGTGGTTAACCCAGAGGTATGGAATGAAGTACCAAACCAGGAGGTTGGACCAGCCAAACTTGTTACCGAGGAGGGTAAGGACGGTCATGGTGATGCCGACACCAATGTCAGACATGACAATGAGCTTGGCGTCCTTGGCCTCGAAAATGGGGCTCTTGGGGTCGAAGTGGTTGACACCACCGCCGGAACCGTTGTGCTTGCCCTTGCCGCGGCCCTCACGCTGGCGCTCGTGGAAGTCGTGGCCGGTGACGTTGGTCATGAGGTAGTTGGGCCAGCCAACGAGCTGCTGGGCGATAAGCATCAGGAGGGTGTAGATAGGAGTCTCCTCAGCCAGCTCGCCGACTTCGTGGGCCAAGCGGCCGGCGCGAGTGGCCTGCTGCTCGCGAGTGCGGGGCACGAAAACCATGTCACGCTCCATGTGGCCAGTGGCCTTGTGGTGCTTGCTGTGGGAAATCTGCCAGCTGAAGTAAGGGACGAGGAGAGCCGAGTGAAGAACCCAGCCGGTGGCGTGGTTGATGGTCTTGGAGGGCGAAAAGGCTTGGTGACCGCACTCGTGGGCAATGACCCAAAGACCGGTACCGAAGAGACCCTGGAGGACGGTGTAGACGGCCCAGAGAACAACACGAGCAGCCTTGGAAGGCACGTACTCGGGGGTAGCGAAGTTGTGGAAGATCAAGAAGGTGGTAGTGAGGCAGAGGATATCGCGGGCGATGTAGGCGTAACCCTTGAGGGCAGAACGCTCGAAGCAGTGCTTGGGGATAGCGTTGTGGATGTCCTTGATGGTGAAATCGGGAGGGGTGAACTCGTTGCCGTAGGTGTCGTACAGCTTGGTGTAGTTGGCCTTCTTCTGGAGGACGGCATCGTCAGAAGCCATAGACGACAAGGACGTCGAGGAAGCAGAAGGACGGGGCGAGTCCACGGGCGAAGCCATGGCAGTCGAAGGAACCGAAGCGTCAGTCTCGACGGTGTTGCTGGTCACGGTGCGGCGGAGAACGGGGTTCTGGCCGGCCGGCGCAGACGAAGTGGTGGAAGCCATGGCGGCTGGTATTATTGTGCTGCTTCTAGGAAGAGAAGGAGGAGGGTTGAGAGCAGCTTGGTGATGTTGCCTCGGTATTGGATGAATACACTCAGAGGAACGGTTGACAAGTTCCAATGGCCCTTGGGAGAAGAGAGAGGGATACCAATTGGGTCGCGGGGAGGGAACAAGAAACACAGGCGGGAAAAGGAGGAAGGGAGGGGAGTAATAAATGAAGCACCCAGGGAAAAACCTCAGGTCGGTATCGGGTCGTGGCGGAGGCGAAAAGACAAAATAGTTAGCAAACGATGGGCCGGGACGGGACCCGTTGTCAACTGTGTCTCTCCAGGGCCTTGGCTCGCTAGTACCGAGTAGTAACAAGTGGCCGGTCAGGTACCGTAACGAATGGAGCGTAAGGAGATCCCTGTGATCCCTGTGACTTTCCGGAGGAGTGGTGTGCAGGTATCTGTATGTAGACTGAGGTGGACTACCTAGATATCTGCGTGCGTCTTGCTGCTGGGTACACCTTCAGTAATAGTAAGGTAGTGGTGGTGGCCGAATGTGTGCTGCGCTGTGCTGTGTGGTGTGCTGTTGTATGTCTCTGTCCCTCGGTTCCGTTTTTGTTGGGGACAAACTGGAGAGAGGAAGAGAGGCAGCTCCGTTGCTTGTGGCCTGCGGGGGTTTGCAGGGCACGGTGCAAGGGGAGAGAGAGCAGGACCAGGGACGGGAGGGACGAAATGCGTGGCAGGGGAGGGCAGGCAATGGGGCACCGGGGGTGTGAAAGCAATGAAATGTGTCGTGTCAAGTCGTGCCGTGTGGTGGTCGATTTCTATCTTTTCCAATTGCTGTTGGATTTTTTCTGCTGGGCCTCGATGTTGATTGAGTTACCCACCAAAGGACGACGATGTGGAGGAGGAGGCAAGAAAGTCAAGTATTCGTACATTCTTAGGCGAGGTACAAGATTGTTGCACCAATTAACATGCGTCAAGAGGTATCTTTCCTCCCCACCTCCTTCTCTCCGTGGGCTGCTAATGCTGCTACCATGCAAGTACGGAGTACCTTAACTCAGGTGCCCAGGTAGCCTTTCCGAATCCCATGAGAGGCCGGACGGAAGGAAATACCGAAGCTGGAAGCTGCGCCTGGTCAAGCATCTAAACCAATTCCTTCCATCCTTCCTATACGGAGTATCCGTACCATCCAATTAGTTGGGGCATGTATTGCAGATTGGTCTATAAGGTAACTACCTTCGGAAGGCAGGAGGGGCAAAGGGTTTCCAGACGGCGTTCAGACATTCAGACACGGGCTTTGGTCATGTCAAATGCCATTGAATACCTTATTAAGGCAATGTGCCAAGGGTAGCTACACAGGTTGTACCTCACCTTGCTCTGTACTCCGTACTTCCGTGAATGATCTGTGGTCTGGTGGCCTTTTCCTCGGCTGTTATTGATAACGGGAGATGCTTACCTCCCCGCAGCAGCAACGACACTCACAAGCCAAAACCCGGCCTACCGTTTTTTTGATGGATATGTCAAAGGTGGTAGATTTGGAGACACCGAAAATGAACGAGGATTTTGCGGCTTGCCCAGAACTTTTTGGAGAAGGCACACCTTTTTTTTTTGTGTGCTGCACCAGAAAGGCAAGGAAAAAGATCGGCTGAAAAAGGATTTTTGGGACGAAGTCGGCGGTCTGAAGGGTCTTGCTTTGGTACGTACCTGAGTCTAGTGTAAGGCGAAAAGGAAGGAATGGAAGTTGGGAAGTTGGGAATGCATCAACCGTGTTTTATTGTACATCTACATCTACCAAGATCGCTTCACCCCCAAGTTGAGCCTTAACTCTGGTAGACCTTCTTGTAGCGGTAACCTTTCCACCCAACCTATGCAGTCCACCTGCATCAGACGCAGCTTACAGTGAGGTACCTGAAGCAAATGTCACTCTGTCTGCCTTTTACTGACCGTTCCTCACTGGCGCTGCAATGCTGCATTTACCGCACAGACTCGAGGCAAGGCAAGCTGCAACTTGAGTCTTGACCGTGCTGAATTTCGCCCTTATTCCCATTCCCTTCTGACTTGACGCTTAGGTCGATATGAGCCTGGAGCAATTGGGGCGGCATTTCGACGTCTTCTATCCGCTATCGACACGCGACGGTATTTGCATCAGTCTGGATCCTCTCGACGTCTCCGCCGTTGCCACTGTTTGCATCTGGGTCATCATGTTCCAGCTCCAGCAACACATCTACCCCTATTGGGAGGCAAATTCATGCCTGGCAGGGCAACACATGGACCGCTCCATTGCAACGCGAGATAGACAAGACATGTACGCTGTCTCTTTGCCTTTCGGAGCCCTCGTCAGGTACTCGTACCTTTCGGCACCGACATACCTTGACGGGGATAGGAGTACCGATACTTCTCTCCACCCCTAGAACCGTCTCTCTTCGCTCCATGCCTCCTTTGGCCCTCCGTTTCCGAAGCACTTTGCGGCTTGCCTCTTCACCACCGGCTGGCTCATGCTAATGCACCCTTGCCTTACCTGTGGTCCACTCGGGCCATGCTCCAACCTCACCGCCCTTCGAGCGAGTCTGCTGGTCTCTAGAGCTTGGGAGCCAGGTCAGAGCCAGACTCTGGCAATGCCGATGTGGTTGATCTTCAACATCAGCAGCAGAATACCAGGTCCACCAGTCGGTCCCGGATGGCCTCGATAGTTTGACATAGGACACGATACCTTACCTAATCTACGCTTCCATCGGAGGCCTACAGATCATGGGGCAGCCTCTTCGGAGGCCAGAGTTGGACATATCTTGCGCAAGACAGCCTATGCTTTCACTGCCGTGGTACCAGTCGTGTCGGTCCTTCAGACCTATGGCCCACGGTCTGGCAGTATTCAAGACACCACCATGTAAGTCGAAGCTGATTTGCCGCCCGAGCTGCATCAGGCGTCCTGCCGCTCCCGTTGTGCCTCCCGTGGTCATACTTGTGCTCTCCGACGTCTTGTCTCGTAGCAAACATGCAACACGCAGACCAACGATTGGCCTCGTTCTTGAAAGTGGTGCAGCCACCGCCCGCCAGTCACTCCCCCAGATGTCGAGCATACGCCTACGGATACGTCTGGCACAAACCGGCGTTCGTCCGTGCATGTGAAGATGGCGCTTGTTCGGGGCGAGATTCAGATCGGAAAATCCTCCAGTCGTAGACGGTGGTGTGGCAGCGTAGCCAATATCGAGTCAGATCAACGACCGCCCCAACCCCTGCACCACTCGACCAGCAGCTCCTATCCGTTTCGATCTCACCACATGCCCGGAAACCGTACCACAGTACTCTCAATGAACGTTGTTGTGCGTTGGGAGCTCAGTAGGTACATCTTTCCGCCGACTTACCCCGACAGCTTCGCGATCAGGAGATTTTACTTCATTGTGGGATGTCTCTGGGGTGAGTCTCGATATAAGTACACGGCGGAGAATGCTATTGCGCCGCAGTAGACCAGGGCCAACATATTGGACTTTCAAATGTTGACAGAAATCAGGAATCATTGGGGATACGATCGGGTAAGGTGCCCGCCATCCTCAGCTTTCAGGGACGGCAGTACGTACCCAGGTTCCCCACGCTTCTCGGTGGGATGACAGGGATAGTCGAAATGTACGTACCCCTCTGCAGGCCAGGAAGCGGTTCCCTTTTTGTTCCATTCTTTCAACCCCACGAACGAAGCAGCGGAAAGCAGAACAGACTGGGAAGACGCGACAGACTGGAGCCTCACGATTGGCTGGCAACGTCCTCAGCCTGAACCAGCCAATCGGGAGTAGAGCAAGTTGCTGACGCGGCTAACCAATCAAGGGCCCGCAGCTGGGGAAGGGGGTTGAATCTTGAATTGACGCCCTCGCTTTCGTCGACGACGTTCCAGAAAATGCCATAGAAGCGCTCTCGCCCGCTAGCAACTCTTCTGAATCGTATGGCATGGCATCCAATTTCCACCCCAGGATTGCAATACAATAGGGGAGACCGAATAATGACACTACGGCAATTCTCGATCGGACTCGACTCGACTTGCCTCGGGCAAACCCGCGAGACAGAGGATGAAACGATCCAGGATCGAGTCGCTCGACTCTCCCATCCTCCAGGGCCTCCACAGCTCACTGCTTGAACAAGACGCAAAGACCCTGAAACAAGGTGGGAACGCCGTTTTCTGGAAGCATCATGGCATTCCAGGGTCCGGTTTTTGCCTGCTTCGCTTCTGTAGCGTTGTGAAGATCAGTTGTTGCTCTCCTTTCCCCCCTCAATTGCTTTCTTAGTTTTATTTTTATTTGCTGTCCTTGAAATTTTCTGTTGGGGTTCAAATTTGTTGAGATGGTTGCAGTCCAGGGCATGGCCTTGTCGCGATGGCAGAGCTTCATTGGTACGTACTGACAGAAACCCCACTCAGATGGATGAATCCCCGGTCTTTGCTCTTGCACTTTGCTATTGCAAGTCGTGACTTCCTGCTCTCTCCAGGGATACGTACCTCGGGAAGTGCACACACCATTTCTCATTCACTATTGAGCCTTGAGTCTTCACCCAGGTTCGAATACTTTACTCCGGATGGATAACTACCTTGCGGTAGAAGCACTCGTCAATGCCGGCCATTGTGATATTCTGTGGACTGGGAAACAAGGCTCCATCGACTTCTCGGAATCCCGATTATCGTGGAGACCTTCCATCGATACTCACTGTTCCACCCAAACGCTGAGACCATCGAGATCCCCAAGGACCAATCCCAACATAGTCAATTACACGGGGGACAAGGATCGGATCAAGCTCGACTGTCTGCTGCTTACAACTAATTTTCAATTATCACATGGTAATTGTTCGATTTTGATCCTGCTCGGTCTCCCCTGCCTGTAATGACAACCGTTCTGGCAGCGAACCAGACGGCGCCAGGGGCAAAAGTGTGCCCCCGAGATCCATCATCCAGAGGCCACAGCCAACGGCTACTTACACGACGCCTCTGCAGTCTGCACTGCTCATCATGGCACTCGTGGAAGCCGGGTCCACCATCATCTACAGAGTACTGTCGTGGACTTGTGGTGTGGTGCCGCCCGCTACTCATCCCTAACGAACCCGAGGCCGGGCTCTTTTCCACGGACCACAGGACCGACTCCCCTTCACATGTGATTTGCTTCCCTTCCAAAGGATAGCAACACGAGGCGGCAGTGACCACTGACAGGCGCCACATCCTGCTCTAAAGGTCACGACATTGCTGGTCACCCCTTGCTAGCACTTACATCCGTTAGCTTCGCAAAGAAATCAGGGAACGATGGCATTGGCACTCTGTTGATACCTCCCCGTCTCGGCAAAGTGTCCTGTGAGTTTACGCACCAAGCACGAGTCGGGGCCGGAGATCGCTTGTCTGGCAGTGTCACTGTTAGTAACTGGCTAGACGCGGAGCATTTCCTTCGTCCCGTGCGGTCTCAAACGGTTAATGCAGAAGCAAGTTTATTTGCCCCAGCCTTTTTTGAAGGAAATCCAGGGCTGTGTGTCCGTACCTGCTCCGCATAGTCTCGTCGGGGAAGAAGAGGAAGGGATTCGTAGTGGCACCAATCACCAACAGCTGGCAAACGATTTGGCTTATTGCGGTTATAGATGACCATGTCTCGTAGGGCTTTCAGCTGACGACACTTTTGTCTCGGTTACCCCAGGACCAGTCCGGATGACAGACAGCTTTAGCTCCGGCATGTCACTCGAAGAGAGTTTACGATTTGCCAGTGTGATAAGACATCCGCAATAGCCACAGTCTCGCACATACTAGGTAATGTGCGACTGTGCCTACCCTCTCAGATACTATATTCTACTGGAAGCAATCGAATCGTCGCAACCGGTAGGAAAATCGCGGTGAATCTTGGGAGAGATTGCCACCGCGGAAAACGCCCCCAAGTCTCAGCCCAGGTCCATACTTGGCCACGCCTCCTATTCACCGCTTCAGTCCTGAGACCTAAAACAGCGCTTCCCTGACCGCCAATCACACGATACATGAATCCCATTTCTCACTCAGAATAACTCCCTGCTGCATAGCAGACAAGCCGTCTCGAAAACCTATTATCGTGCATATCCTTATCAAGAAAACTCGCCGTTCAGGCCCTTGTGACAGTTGGCATAATGATACCCGGCATGGGCTCAATGTCACGGTTTCCGGTTGGTTGCCTTGCCTCTCTAGAGAACTGCAGATCGCATCAAAGACATGTGAAAGTACATTCGCACTTCCCAAGAAGCCTGGATATGGTGTCTCTGATGTCACTTGTGTCTCTTGACATGCCGCCGTTCTCAACAGCTTCATCATGAAAGGCTGCAGCACGCCTGATACCTCCCGGCTTCCTCCGAAGGTAGATTTGCAAATTCACCCAGAAGAGAGGAATCCAGCATGAGTCTGGAGTGTGATTTGTAGCTTACCTGTCACCGTCTGTAATGCTTCACCGGTACACCTACCTATCAGCAGTATCGGGTTTACGCCTCCTGTCATACAACGCCAGCCCCATCCGTCGCGGCTGAGACAACCCAACAATCCGACCCCGCGTCTCACAAACGCCATCTCCCAGCCACAGAGGAGAGCTTGAAAGTGACTGTATGTATTTAGGATTTCTCAAGGTGCTGTCACAGGCTGCTTCTTGTCCTGGGTCAGTCGGGGGGGTTGCTCTGCTGTGACCCCCGCATCACTGCCAGCGCTGGGAGGAAACGATAAGCTGGTTGTGCCGCATGAGAGACTATGCTCTACGGTAGGCAGATGGGAAGCTGTTGAGTAGAAGCCATTATGAAACAGAGCGAGCGTGGAATACGGTAGGCATCGCATGCTCGTCGTGGTATTTTGAAGTCAAAGCCAATGTCACTTTACCTTCGCAAGACGGATTGTAAACTCTCCGCCTCGGAATCATGTAAAATGCGTGTCTACAACCTAGTACGAGGAAGATGCCCCGGTAAGGCATATTCCATTGCTCTTATTGTGACTTACTTTACGTTTGCTAAAGACGAATATCACGATCACGAGCTTTTGAACCATCTTGGTTCGTTTCCTCGTGCCTAAATCTTCGCGTCATCACGTTCCAATTCCAGGCAGCCATTACATGAGGTTGAACTTGAAACTGAAATCCTGACGAGCCTTAAGTTTTAATGCTTCTGTACCAGTCGTCTGGTTGCTTGTTCATCTATAGCCTTTCCAAGACTGTCGGTGAGCATACGCGTCCGAGGAAATCGTCACGCAAGCCAGGAACGAGACGAAGTTGGATTCGCCATAGACGCTGACATTGGTTCCCGGCCCTCCGTGATGATTTCAATAACACGCTTGCTCTGTTGCTGGCGGTAATTTTGCATACGATCGGGAATCGGTGCCTTCGACTCGTCTGAGTCCTTGTCAACTCCTTCATCTTCGTCGGAGGGTTCTGTGCTGATATCGCCTGATTCAACGTAATCCTTTCCTTTCCAGTATCGCTTCCCATGAAGATACTCTGCTTCCCATAGGCTAATCTCTCTGCCTATCAGATTGAAATGCTGTAGAGCCGCTTGAAGTTCTCGCTCTTTCTTCTCCGAAGGGCCGAGGTTGGCGTCAGCCTGACGCGTTTTGACTGTGCCTTGACACGCCTTGTAGGGGAGGCCTGAAGGCGTGCTAAGCTCCTCCACCCCCTTTCCCTTCTCAATTATGGAAACACCTCCTACTTCTAGAACTCTCCGCTGTTCTTCCGGCATCCACGAACCATGAGAAATAATCCATGCATTGAACTGTGGAGTATTTGGTTGAAGTAGGTAATCATAAGAGAGCTTCAGATCCTGCCGTATAGGTCGATAATGATCTAACCAATGACGTGAAACGTATTTGAGGAATGCGCGAGGAATATCCTTGCGACACTCTTTGAGGTAAAGACTTGCTTCCTGGTGGTGCAAGGCAGTCTTGTTGAATGGCTCTGTTGACCGGAACAGGTCGATGTAATCGGCACAGATTTGGAGCATGTATAGGTTAGCATCCGCCAGACTGATTGAATGTTGCCACTGCGAAACAAGTGTCGAGCTTCCTGATTCTTGCCTGTCTCGATCTGTGGGTAAAGAGTACTTTTTGCTTTGAGAAATCGCTCCGAAACCGAGTTCTCTGTGTTGATGCAGAAGAAATTGACGGGCTGTCTGATGGATTAGATAGATTTTTTGATTGCGAACCCTGACGAAATGGCCACATATTTGACGTAGATGATTTATGAACGGCTTATACATGAAATTCTGCAGCTCTTGCAGATTTGAAACTGTTTTTGTCTGCACTTCTGGCTGTCGACTGGTTTTATCATGACGTGCCTCATGCCGGAGGTTAACGGCCCTCATGCGTCTCCTTTCGTTGCTCTCCAACATCTGCGTCAAGTGTGTCGGAGCCATTATTCTTCCGGACTTGGTAATAACTCTTCGTTTCGTTTGATTTCTCACTCGTCTCTTTGCGTATGACGAGGAGATTGATGGTAATACTGTCATGGCCTTGGTAATTCCAGACTCTTGGGTATCCTTGAGCTCTGGAACTTGCTTTCGTTGACCGAGCTCATTCACAGATATCGATCCTAAATGGGCCATGACTCTTTCCGACTCTTTGGTATCTTGTTGTTGGTGGTAGTCTTGATTAACTTCCACAGCTCCGCATAACTCGTCCAATGTCAACGGACGAACGGCGGCAAGGATAAGCAATAAAACCTTTCTGGTTTTTAATGGTAACACTCGACCAGACAAGAGTTTCTCGTAAACGTCTTCGGGCTTGGTAGTGGCCAAGATGGCTTCGATCTGATCCATTGAAATTCCGTCAACCTCCGCTCCTTCTACGATGTTCATCACCAAAGACACCCAAAGAAAAGTGTAATCGGCATTGCTGATAAGTCGCTGTTCAAGTCGACGGAGAATGTCAGGGGATAGTCCTGACTGCTGACCAAGATCTGAAATTTTTGATCTGACGAATTGAGCAATATCCTTCGCAATGGAGCCGCTCTCTTCCTCGGCACTGAGCCTGAAACTGCCACACTGCGAGCTGTACTGTAAGCCAGTCTCTTGGCTAGCGTTTCCTGACCGAAGTCCAAACACCCGTTCGATAGAGTTGAGGGGTCGGCTAAGGATGACGATCTTGCAGGCCGGCCTTCCCTTGACGGGCGCCAACTTGCGCGACTGGACGAAGTCCGCCAGAGCTTTGATGAGCTCGTCCAATGACTTCTCTTCGCACTCATCTAGACCATCCAATATCCATATTACGTTCTTAGTGTTGGAATCTTTCATCGTCGCTAGTAGAATAGACCAAAGTGTAGAAAAACGATTGAAACTAATCTTTGGCATGCTAGAGTACTTGGCCATGGCGTGGTGCATCAGCCGACGTTGTCTGGAGAATAGCTGATGAAGGATCGCTGATACAGCTGATGGTGCGTTGTCCTGATGTTCTAGTCCTTCCTTGAAGAAGAAATAGCAGACATGGGTATCAAGGTGTGCCCTAACGTCTCGCTTTTGGAAAAAGTCGACGAGATACTTTGCCACCACTGACTTTCCGCAACCAGCATCAGCTGTGATCCAGAGAAGAGCTGGGCCTGGCACAGAGTCCCATAGATTCCATTTCTTATGTGACGTAATCCACTCGCAAGTCTTGGGCACTGGATCATCGATTTGGCCAAGATGATGTTCGTAGTCTGCGTTGAAGTCTCTCAGGCATGCCATCGCTAGCGGATCAAGTGCTTGGGTTCTGTTAGTCGATATGTCGATGGTTAATGGCACTTGCCTTTAGCAACACTCACGAACATCGGTGCCCGATGGTAGCTCCCCGACCGCCTCGCGAATAGCTAGAGAAGCAGCCTTGTATCTCGAGTCCTCTGGTGACGGAAACTTGCAGATGTCAGAGTGATTGGCGTTCGAGGAAATGGGCAGCTCTTTAGGCCAATTCAAAGTGGCCGATTCCTTCTCGACAACCTGGAGTTTTAATGTAAGTTTACACACATGGTACATGGTAGGGGAGGCTTTTGATGCCCGGCTGACTACGATACCTTGCAATTCAAGCCATTCATTTTCACATTCTCATAGAAGCTTCTAACTTCGAAGTCTTCCCCGCGAGCTGCGAATGACTCTGATATGCGCCTCAGAAACTTCGAATCAACCTTCAAATTGCTCGAAAGTTTGCTGTTGGTCGCGTATCCAAGTGTACTAGCTTTGACAATGAGAGTACCGAGTTCGTCCCACGTAGCTAGGCTCGAGCCGCGATGCGGGGTGCCGAAGAAAACCACACCGTGAATATGATCCAAGATACAGGAGTAGTGGCGATCTAGCTCATGGGCCATGATTACGGCCTGAATCTGTCAACAGAAAGTATCGCTTGGTTTCGGAAAGTAGCAAAATTTTGCAGAGGGCTGCGCAGGAAATGCGAAAAGGGGATAGGGCAATAGTAAAAGAGACTGCGCGTACCTGTTTGAAAACTAGACCCCCAAGACTATGGCAAATGAAGACTATGCGGCGCTGTTTTTCTTCTTCGCTTGTCCGGTGAGCTTTCAATGCCCAGAGCAATTCTGAGGCAAAGTCTGGGACTTCCGATTCAGATCGACTGAAGTAGGTTTTGGAGTTATAGCCAAATGTCAACACTCGTGCCGTGGGCATGTCTTTTGGCAGGCACAAAGAGTCGCTCAGCCATTGCAATTCCGTTGCGGAGTCTGTCCATGTATCCTCGCGATGACCGTTGAGCCCGTGAATGGCCACAATGTCCACGCAGCCTGTCTTGTCCGCTGGCTGCGGGACGAGGATCTTGATGCCGTGAGGAGATGCGTCTGGTTTCTTTGCGGTTGTATAGTCGGTCTCCCGCGTCGATGATGTGTTTAGGTTGCCCCGAGAATCGTCTTCGGTCGTTCCCGCAGTGTCCTCGAGGTGCGGACTACTGCTTTGAACATCGGTGCTAGCATCTGGACGACTGTCGTTGTTTTCTGAAGAAGATTTGTCAAGTTTGAGGAATGCCGATAACCGCGATCTGAAGCCCATAATCAAGAAATCAGCCAAAAAAGATGACGTTGCGTGACAGCAGAAGAGCCTCGTTCTGGGGGGAATGGAGAAATGTGACCAGGCTGAGGTTCGGCCACGCAGAAGAAACCAACAGACTGCCAGCTTAAGGTGTGTCTTTGCACCACCCAAGCACCAAGATACTACGGTGCAGGAGCGAAGCTAACACCCCTGCTGCACAATCAAACCTATACCGTCAAGAGCCTGCCGGAAAATTTGCCTGCTGTGGTTGCCTGAATGCTGAGTGCTCATGAGGCGAGGAGGAGGAGGAGGAGGAGGAGGAGGAGGAGGAGGAGGAGGAGGAGGAGGAGGAGGAGGAGCCAAGCGAGTTCAAGGCAGGCTGGACAGGTGCTTATCCAGTCATTTCTGTCTGCATATGTAGGCGGCAGGCCTAACCATCCAATGAGAGCCTTTATACACACTCACATTTGGTGAGGGTTCAATAGCTGACACCAGCGAATAAAATTAGTGGTGTATCTCAGCGTGAGCACATGGGAGACGGATGAGTCCAAGGTCCATAAGCCTCAAGATGGTTCCAGCCTCGAGGCAAACTCACACTATGGCAGTCGCGCATCGATGATCAGGCCACACGCTATCGTGACTTATACACAGTGCTTATAGTCAACCGATGTAAATGCGAAAGCTGACTACGAGAGCTGTGATGTGAGGGGATTAGCATTTCAGAATGAATCTGGACGAAACCAATTTCGAGTGCCGAATGGCAGTGATGTCCTCATTTATGTACCTAGAGTGGCTCAAAGCCTCTACCTATAATCGTGTTCGTTCGTCGTAATCCCTAGATGCTCTATCAACGGGATGTCAAGCATGAGCCCTCTGATCAACCCAACGCCGGGAGCCCCATTCTTATCCAAGTTACGCCATGCATCCAATGCTATCGAACCGGTATTGCAACGAAGATAAAGGGAAAAAGGGGGTATTTCATCAAACCGCAAAACCAAGTTGATCCCTCTCATCATCCACCAATCGTCCCCATTCCAGCAGTAGCCGGAACATATAAACGCGCATGTCCTCTCTCCGGAGCGCCTTGCGGCTCCAAGCTCTGCCTTCTTCCGCAATAGCCTCTGCTCGCCTCTTGCCTTCTGTGTCAATCCCAAAGTACGATAGGAGATCCCAAAGCTCGTGAAGTCGCACATCGACGGGGACGTAGTGACGCCACGCGTGGACTCTCTCGTTGAACCAAGTCCTGAAGAGGCCGGAGCGGTAAACAAGACTCTTGCTGCGGAGGAAGGGAATGAAGCGTCCGCTAAATCCCGCGCCGTCGAGGTCCATCAGGTGTGCGTACTTCCAATGGTCAGTGAAAGGGACCTGGGACTTGTCGGGCGAATCCTGGCCCATGCCCCAGAAGGTATCCTTTTCGCTCTGGCAGTCCTCTCGGTGGCACTTGGTCCATCTGCTCACGAATCCAACGTCAAAATTTGGCGCATCTTCTGGTCCCAAGACTTTGGTCTGACCATCCTGTTGAAGTTTGGCAACCCGGGTGATCGTATTTGCAGCCTGGACGAAACGAGCCCTGAGGAAGCCCTGCCACGAGCCCCGGGCTGCGTACCCATCCGAAGATGAGCCCCTCCAGAACATGGTGTTCCTCTTCTTGCTCCATTCCATATCCTCGTTTTCATCATATGCAGCCTTGTCGTCGTAGTTCCAAGGGGAAGGCACCAGGATATCAGAGAATCCTGACGTCCTGCTTTGACTGAACACGGGAAATGCCTCTTTGGTGAACAGGGCTGGCGCAGGAGACAGTAAAAATCCGTGAAGGTAGGCCAAATCCGGTTGATGGCAGAGGTCTGTTGCCGAGGTCCAATTCGACACAACGGGGTTCTCAAGCGCCTCAAAGACGCGGATAGCATGCGGCAGGAGGCATCCACGGCACGCCTCCTTGGTGCTCCACCATCTCGTATTCCGGGCGGCGGAGTCAGGCGGGCAGGTTGGAGCAACAAACTCGTAGTAGTTTTGATCTCGGATGCGGTCTTCAAAAAATGGGGACCGCGCCTCAGGCCCCTTCACAGCATCGTCGTCGCCCCAAACTGCCGATTTGGATCTGTCAAACGTCTTTCGGTCTTTCGTATGGAGTAGTTTTGTCCTCGACTCCAGGCCAACGCTGTGAAGCCTCGACATGTCTTCGAACGGGATCGCCACGCGAGGTTCGTCGTTAAGATTGATGGCAAAGTCCATGTCGGGGAGATGCTCGGCAAAGTCCTCAATCATGTTCTTCATAGAGGTCATCATCCACATGTGAGACCCAGGCGTGCCGGGAGCCACGTTGACCTTTCCCCCACGAATCCGAATGCCTCCCATACCGAGCCACGGAATCTCCGAGGAATGCTTCGTATGATCGCGTAGAACATTCGGCGCAACGCCCCAAAACGGAAGTAAATCGTCGTTGATCTGTGTGAAATCGTCGATAATGGGCGAGCCGTTGGCAACAGCGTACTCGTACCACTTATCGAAGTTAGGAGGCGGGGCCAAACCATACCGCTGTTGATATTCTTTCGCTGCGCCCTCGAGGGTAGAGCTCTGATTCGCTCTCCCGATCCAGGTGTCGGACTTGGTGTTTGCCGTAGAAAGGAGGTCGGGGAAGGATAGGGTATCGGTAGAGTTGAAGTCCGGGTAGAAGATGAGGTAGGTTCCAAAGAGGACGCCGACAAGAACGACGTACCACATCAAGAGAAACCTGATGAGTCGTGGATCCCCCGGCGAGGACCCAGAGGCGGTGGCGATATCCTTTTCGTATCGCAAAAGGAGGCCGACACATACTATCGTAAGAGCGCTGGCTATCATGTAGGGCAGAGAACCGTCCATTGGCAGCGCAGCCTGCAGCATGCGGACAAGCTGATGGGCATAAACACCTGAAGCCGTGACAACCATCCCCAACGTGCTAGGATGCATGTCACTCATGACATAAAATCCCAAAATCAGCCCCAGCGACGCCACCGTGCTGTCCGTCAGTAGATCTCTGATTTCGACAAACTGCAGTTCAAACGCCCACCGGGTATTTCGAGCATTGTGGATGGAGAAGCAGGCAAGCAAGGCCAGTACGCCTGCGGAACCTAGAAAGAGTCTTGACACGAATCCCCAGGCTTGCGGCGTATCGTCCACAGTGTCCTGCCGCCATTTCGAGAGGTAAAACAACAGCAGCGCATCCAAAATGACAGTGACGACCTGGGCTATGGGAATCTGTCTTTCCCAACGAAGGAAGCCTGCAGGGCAGATTGCGCCGGCTGACTGTGTTGACAGTGCGAGCGTGGCCCTTGTGGCGCAGGCCCAAACGATAGCAATAGTGAAGTAGCGCAAGTGGGCAATGTTACAGCAGCGTCGGGATCGGGCTTGGTCGCCAGTGTGTTGTTGGAGTCGTATGGTAGAGGGAGATACTGTCGTGTAAAGGACGACAAGAGCTGGGAGAAATACCTGCGCGCGGTGTGTTAGTTCTTTCCGATCGTGGGCTTTTTCAACCTTGCGACAAGCTGCTTGGCAGACGAACCTCGAAGCTCTCCCATGAGCAGTGAATCGTGCGGATTGTGCGCCAAAAGAGCAATGACCGCAAGATAATAGCGCATCCTAGGAAGAAGTAAGGTGACAACAAAAACCGAGGATTGCGCGCGACGTCGATGCCGGCTTGGAGTCGCCTTTGCCAGCCATTTTTCGAGGAAGAGAAGCTGGCGAGTTGATATCTGCTGCTCGAACTTCTCCACGGCGAGAGCTGTCTACACCATATTGCGATGAGCAAGCCGGATTCGAAGAGCGTCAGGATCGAGAAATGTATTGGCCGCTCTGTTTGGTGTTAGTATTAGTTGTCGTCTATGCGATGATTGTGTCGCAATCTGTAAATTAGGTCAAGTAAAGAGTCCATGAGGTTTACTGACCAAAAGCAGCGCTGCTGTTAAACCGTGAGTATATCCATGCTGTGCATGCAAGTAGTAGAATACTGATAGCAGAGTTAATGTTAGCAATGTCAATGTCGCAGCCCGCAAAATAATTGAGCAAGAAATAAGAGAGGTCGAGTCAAAAAGCTGCAGGCTTGAGACTTTTCTGATGCCATCTGAGACCGCATAGCAGGGAGATACAATCAAGGTAGTACAGCAAGGAATGAGGGTGTTTACTCACCAAGCCGCCAAGATACCATGTCTCTTCAGCGGGGCCGCCATCGGCGTCTGTCAACTTGCCCTACCCAGCGCCGGCTTGGCAAGCGGAGAGACGGAGACTCCAAATGTAACGGGATAAATAGATGACGGGGGAACGGTCTGGGATGCGAGAAGAAGAACCAAAGAAGAGTGGCAAAAGGATCATGCTACTGTAAGGTAAGAGATCCTATTGCGACCATGACATTCGTTGGTCCAAATTCCACACTCGGATGCAGACGAGCCTTTGCCTGGGTGCTGCAGCGCGCGCCTATGAAAAGATGGATGCGGCAGGCAAGGTGACGGACAAGCCCAAGATAAGCTGACGGGGGATTGGATTAGAGACTAGGCAAAGCAAGGTCAAAGCTGATGGAACCAAGCCCAGACTAGAAAGAGAAGAAGGAAGAGAGAGAGCAAGGACAAAGACGAGGGGGAAGGGGAAGAAGGAATAGAAGAAACATACAAGACAAGGCCGGCTCGAGGGTAGTGCTTCCTGAAGAATGGCTAGCGTACGCCCGACACACACACACACACACGAGTGACAAACACCCGCCCATATGGATACCACGATGGGAGCCTCCAAGGTATCAGGTAATAGGTAGCTAGCTATCTTGGGCAGACTTGGGGCAGTCGTTAATGGGCTTGGCTGCAGTCGCTACCGCAGCTACACGCAACAAATACCTAATGAGGCACTTAATTGCTGTGTAAAGTACGGAGTACGGAGTAGGTAGATAAGAAGGTAGTACAAGAGCCAAACAAGAAGACGGGAAGCAACCACCAACAAACTGCCAAGTAACAAACCCTTCTTTCCTCTTCCCACCTTTAGTTAGAACTCGGGCAACTTGGAGGGGCTGGGAGAGTCCATCCAGCGTTTGCTGTGCCTTCTTTCTATCTCTGACCAAGGTACGAGCCAATCATGTTCTAGCGGGCCGCCCGTCCAGTACGGCGTAGCATTCTACCGTCATTGTGCCGTACAGCCGGTCCACACACGAGGGTGCGAGAAGAAACCTTGGTTGGAAGCTGCAAATCCCCGTCCTGGTGGTACGGAGTAGTAGTTTCTCGCCCGTATCGTATTGAACATTGGTCAACCGTCAGTGGTCGTCCAAGGAACGTGGCGTGGGACGCGACAGGTTGGCATGGGATGGGCCTGGGCCTGGGCCTATATCCGTACCTTACTCCGTTCTGTCGCTTCGCTACGGATACTGCGTACAAACGGGGCCGTTTGTGAACCGGGATGAAGAATACATAGAAAGAAGTGGTACGGAGCACCGATAGAGAGGGGGGGACGGCAAGAACAAACAGACGAAAGCATAACGTCATGGGCGCAGCTGTCTGTAACGGTCAATGTGGCTTCCCCGGTACGTGATGCGTACCTGAGCCTTACCTGACGGGGCATTAAGCTATACCCAAGATACTGGGCCCTCCTCCAACAGAAACCAAGTAAGAATAGGAGTTGAGTTTTACTCCTGATTTCATCCGTAATGTTTCACCGGAGGGATACTTCTGGCACCGGGGGGATACTTTTGCACGGCCACCGGCGTACGACGTACGTGTGCCTCGTACCGCACATATTGGTCCTTGGTGAGAGCGGCTACGGTTGGTGTGTGGAGAAGGAATAGAATCAATGCGACTCATGGACAAATGCTTGCCCTCCAGGCATCCGGCTCCATCCCTCGACATTCCGATCTGCGGGCCCGGTGGACCGGGTCTTGTTTTGCATCTGCCATCCCTTTTTGGATCAGAAATCCATATCCGTAGTTCTGGGAGAATACAAGAGACGAAAGTAAACGTTGGCAAGTTTTGAGACGAACGGCCTTGATGAGAGATGGGATGGGATGCTTGAGAATGAAGGAAAACCTGAGGATAAAAGTCTTATTACCCACTGTTCGCATTCACCTGCTGTTACCGGTGTGAGTCCTTTTGCAACTTGCACGGACACAAGAATCTGAACTTCTTAGCCAATGTCGTGCGGAGAAATCAAGTGATTAATCAATCCTTCTGCCTATTTCCAATACCGTGGTACCCCAGCTGTCATCGGCATCCCGCGTCGATCATGCACAAGGAAACCTTCTTCCTCCTTACCAGTGACTGGCCAAGGGCAAGGCGAAGCTTGTTATCGTCCAATTCTAAGCCGCATCTTTCCACCACCCATTGGTCATGTACGGATATACGCCATAATCTTACCGTTCGATACGGTAGGGCGAGTGGAGCCTCATATTTCAGCCGCCTGTCAGCTCATGACCTCGTCTTGTCCCATGTCGGTCTCTTGGCCATCGGGAGCATCAAAAGTGTACCGCATGTACAGCATAGTTGGACCCAACTGAACAGGTCATCCCGTTAAGACACTGCAATAGTCGAACCAGAAAATGGACGTTCAAATCGTTCCTGACACTGCCATTGATTCATTCAGCCCAAGATTGATCCCCCCGGTCTATGGTATTCACTTTTTGTCTTTCAACCAGCCTCAACATGCGAATATGACTTTTTTTGCTCTCTCTTGACCTCCCATTCCTGCCGAGAAATCCTCAGGTGCTGCCATCATCGGCGCGTGTCGTTTAAGCGCGCTGCCGTTGTCTGGGAGCAGCGCGAATGATGTCGTCTACGCGAAGAAGAAGCTACTGTGTGTTAGTCATTTATCCCAGACATCATCTCACAATCAATACCAAAGGGACCGTTATGGGGGCGGGACGTACCTCTGCTGCCTCACTGGCAGACGAAACAACCGCTCTCTTCAGCTTGTAACTCTCAACGACACCCAAGTCGCGCATGTCGGTGATGCCACCGCCGGGTGACAGCAGGTCCAATCCATAATTCGTCATGCCGTCGTAAATCGCTTTTCTCAGGCGGGCCACAAGCTCCCCAGAGTCAAGGCCTGCGTTGTCGGCCAGAATGGTGGGCAGCTGGCGCAGCGCAGTCGCAAAGCTGCTGACGGCCATCTGCTTCTTGCCCTCAACGCGAGTGGCAGCACCCTCGACAGCCTTGGCCATGACCATCTCAGCACATCCACCACCAAGAGTAGTCCACGGCTCCTTCACTGTCTGTGACAGAACGGCAAGGGCGTCGTGCAGACTGCGCTCCGCCTCGTCCAGAAGCTGATCTGTAGCACCGCGCAGCACAATAGTGCATGCCTCGCCGGCAGCAACACCAGAGAACTTGATCAAGGTATCCTCGCCAATGATGACCTCCTCGATAAGCTCGCACTGTCCCAACTTGACCTGGTCAGGGTGGTCAAAAGTCGAGGCAATCTCACCGCCCGTCACCAACGCCAATCTCTCAATACCATCAAAGTCGGCGTGCTCGATGGACATGATGCCGGCATCTGTGAAAAGCTGCTCGGGCCAGTTGTAGATGAGTTGTCTGTTGATGAAGCAGTTGATGCCGTGCGACTTGATCTTCTCCACCTTTGCCTTCATCTTCTCCTTCTCGGCCTTCTCGAGGTCGGCCAACTTGCTCGTTGTTGACACCTTGACGCGGGCGCCAAAGATCTTGATCTTGTCTGTATCCATGGAGGTATTGGCGACCAGGATCTTGGCCTTCTCGAGGCGCTTGGGCTGGTTGACACCAATCTTCTTGTCGAGAATGAAACCCTCGTCGAGATACGAGTCGCTCAACTTGCCACCGGCCTTCTTGATGATTTGAATGTGGCTCAGGTCGGAGGAGTTCTTGAGTCGCAGCACGGCATCGCAGGCGAGCTTGGAGAAGTGGTCGCGGTCCTGGGCCAGAACCTTGGAGCTGAGGGTGGTGCGGGCAATGGCCTGCAGGTCTTTTCTGAATGCCTCGGGAGTGTTGCTGCGGTCGACGGCAGACTCCTTCAGGGCCTTGAGGGCGGCCTGGCTCGCTATCCGGTAACCCTCGATGATGGTCTGGGGGTGGATCTTCTTGTCGACAAGCTTCTCAGCTTCGCGCAGAAGCTCTGCCGCAAGGACAGCAACGGATGTAGTACCATCACCGACCTCATCGTCCTGGACCTTGGAGATGTTTACCAACACCTTGGCCGCCGCGTTGTCGAGGGCAATAGACTTCAGAATGGTAGCGCCGTCGTTCGTGACCATGATCTCGCCAGTCGATCTGGACGTTTGTCAGCCATGTCAGTGGATCACAGCGGAATGGGGGGTGATTCGAAAGTAGGCGGGGATCAACATACGCAGACTGCAGAATCTTGTCCATACCCTTAGGACCGAGGGTGCTCTTGACGAGGTCGCCGACGGCGATAGCGCCAACGAAGGCGGAGAGACGGGCATTCTCTCCCTTCTCCTCCGTGGTACCGTCCTCGAAGATTTGTGTCGGGCTGAAGGACGACTGGAGGGGCACACTTTGTCAGCGTCATAGCCCACGCACACAAGGGAACAGATGTGTGAGACGAACCATGGTCAATGTGTATTGTGCAGACACTCTGTATCGAAAGTCGAATCGGTGACTGGGTGAGTGGGGGGAAGTAAAGGTGTCTGAGTAGTACGGAATCCTCAGCCTTGGGGAAGCTTCACCGAGAAAATCGTCGTAGAAAATTTGGGGGGGGTTCAGCCTGGCGAAGTGGGGGTATGCTGGGCGGGAGCTTCCAGGCAGTGTGGTCAGCGAAGCAAAGCTGCTGTGGTGTTTCTACAGACGTCCATCCTCCACTGTAGCAGTTGCTAGTGGTCAGTGCGCGCTGCCGCTCATGGCAGCAATTGGCACCTGGCGGGGTTACTTCTTATCGGGGGAAGCTTCTCTGGGCGGTGAGTAGCCCTGGAGCAATCCAAGATGGGAAAGTGTGCCTGACGGTGAGACCTGGCAGAATATCCACGTGACTTTATTGGAGGCGACAGTTGCGACTAGGCAGGTACTGTGGTTTCTTAGGTAAGGTACCGAAGGTAGCGAGGGGCTTTCTTCGGGGCCGGAACAACCGAATAATCCAGCCCACACGAATCTGCCATATCACCAAAAACTTTCCAAAACGAAGTCCAAATTATGTGCGCGATAGTCATTTGGTTCCCTTGTGCCCCCCTGTAGAACTCCCCTTGAGACGTGAAATCCATTTGGTCAATAGGTCGTTAGCATCAAAATCTCCAGAGCCAGTTGGCAGAATTTGCACCGAATTTGCCCTGCTCCCAGAGCCACCTTGAAGCGCTCCGCAAGTCCAAAACCCTCACAAAAAAACCGAGAAAATCGCGGGGCACTTTTCAACCACTGGAAAGCCACCCCGACCCCACTCTATTTGGCACCTCTTTTTTTCCTCCCACCACAGAAAGGCCATCGCAACGCTTCCTCACCGAGAGACACGCACCCCCTTCCCCTTCCGTCCCCCGATCCGAAGAAATCACAACCGCCACACCTCGACTGTAGACTGATCCAGTCGTCGCAATCATGGCGCCTTCTTTCGACCATCTGCGCGAGGCAGATCTCGACGACGACGAGTACGATGAGGAGGAGATCGACATCTCCGACCTGCGCGAAAAGTACGAGGTTCAGCTGGAGCAAGGATACGACACCTTCGTGGTCATCGATGGCCTTCCCGAAGTTAACGAGGACCAGAAGCCCAAGCTGGTCAAGTTCTTGCTGAAGAAGCTGAACTCTGTTGGAAAGACGAGGGAGGACCTGATTTACATGCCCATGGGCGAGAATGGAAAGTCGCTGAGGTACGGTTGCCTTGGTGGATCCCATCTCGGATCTTACCCAAAGAGATGGATCGCGTTCAAGACAAAATAGCAATGCTGACTATGACCGCTCAGATTTGCCTTTGTCGAGTATTCTTCCCCCAGCGAGGCTGCCGCTGCCGTTCGTGGACTCGACCAGGTCCCTCTCGACAAGAAGCACATCCTCCGCGTCAACAAGCTCACCGATGTCGACCGCTACGGCCGCGAAGGCAAGGTCCACGAGGAGTACACGCCGCCTCACATTGAGGAGTTCACCGAGACCGAACACCTGAGATCATTCATGAAGGACCCCAGCGGCCGTGGAAGAGACCAGTTCGCCATGTACCGTGGCGATACCGTCGGCGTCTTCTGGAACAACGAGAAGGACATTCCAGAGAACATCGTTGACCGTCAAAATTGGACAGACAGCTTCATCCGGTGGTCACCACAGGGAACCTACCTCACCTCGGTTCACGCTCAGGGTGTTCAGACTTGGGGCGGCCCCTCGTGGTCAAGGCAGAAGCGTTTCCCCCACCCCTTCGTCACCTTTGTCGACTGGTCTCCTTCCGAGAAGTACCTGGTAACATGGTCTGCCCGCCCCATCTCCATCCCCGACGAGGGCCACCCGGCCTTGTCTGTCGATGATGATGGCAAGAACTACGTCATCTGGAGCGTCGAGTCTGGCAAGCCTATCCGTTCCTTCGCCAACCTGGATATGGAGGGCATGGACGAGGCAAAGCAGCGCAAGCTCCTCTGGCCCGCCTTCAAGTGGTCCGCTGATGACAAGTACGTCGCGCGTCTCAACTACCAGACCGGTATCTCTGTCTACGAGCTTCCTCGCATGAACCTCCTCGACAAGACTT